TGTGTGTGTGTGTGTGTGTGTGTGTGTGTGTGTGTTAGCTACTCACTGTACGCACCAATGACTGTGAGGCTTTGAGCAAGAAATACATTATGACAATCAAGCAGCCTAGAGAGGGAGGGAGACTTTTGCACAGCTGGAATGTTCCAGCTGGGATTCCTGGTGGCTGGACAGGAAGTTAGAGGAGCTCTGGCAGGAAGTGTGTTCTCAGGGAGGGCCAGCACCGAGAGAGAGAGGGAGAGGGAGGGAGAGCTGTTTCCTGTTGGCTCTCTCCACATGTATTGACACCTAGCTTATTTCGTCCGCCCCCCTCCCTGCACCCCCTTCACACCCAACATGAGCAGATACCAGTATGCAAATGGTTTTTAGTGCTATCTTCCTGTGCTCACATAATGAAAATGCAGGAATGCTATTAGAGGAAAGCGGTAAGCCAGGAGAGTCGACCGCGTACGCTGGGTAGGATTGTGTCACAGGATGCACATGTCCCCATATGAAGTGAAACTTCCTGCCCATCAAAGCAGTCGCTGCCAAATTAATGGACTCACGTTCAGCCGCCCACAACAGTGGTGATCATGGAAATAAGGCAAGACAAATTGGTGAGAGGAGGAGGAGAGCAAGTGGGGAGATTGTAGGTAGAGATGTTATGTGATGGAGCGATATGTGGATTGCAAGAGGAAAAATCTCTTTGTCTCTCCTGAGCTCAGTGGACAATCAAAGTTTCCTATCTGCTCTGGAGTAGGGGAAATTGGCTGCCCTGGGAAGGCGAAGGCCACTCTCACAGCCAATGGGAAGTGCCCCTGTCACTCTAATCAGGACCGATAGAGAAAGTAGGAAACGAGTGCGTGCGCCCGCGCACACGCTCACGCGACACTGCTCTTTAACAGAGAACAGCTTTGTTCCACTCGCCTCGGCGTGATCCCAGACGATGCAACGTCTAAAGTAGAGTTAGACCTTCATTCGCCGCTCATCCCCTGCGTGGAGGGACATGTATATGGGCCACGCGGGTACGTTTTTCTTGGCAAAACTTGCCCTGATAGGCATGACCATCCGTGCTTTGATGGGGCGCCATGTGGCAGAGATCAGCGGGTCTTAGTGGGAGCTGTGGACAGTTGCACACAAGGGCGGCAGGGGAAGAGGATTACTGTCTCATCGATACAAATCCACACAGAGAGGGAGGTTGACATCAACATGCACACAGATACAGACAGAGCACAGGGGCTTTGGGCAGAAGTGTGCACGGTGTAAACATCTGCACCAGAGGAGGACCGCTGTGGACTTTGATGCTCGCCTTTTTCGAGCCCTCCATCTTCCCTGCTCGGCCCCCGTCCCCGCCTCCTCCGTGCCGGGCAGGAATGCGTCTCTCTGCACGGAGCCCAATCCTCTGTTTGAAGTCCCATCTCCGTCTTTGCACGTCCGACACCGTCCTTCCCTTCCTCGATCTTTTCAGTCCGCCTGACTGTCCGATCTGTCAGCCCCGCTCCTCCCCGTCCGCCGCAGCTGCGACGAGGGCCACAGACGCCTTCATTGTCCTCCTCTTCCTTGCCCCCGCGCTTCTGCACACGGCCAGATCACACCTGCCACCTGCACGGGACGGCAGGGCCCCGGGACCCCGGGCCGCATGGGCTTTCATCCATCCCTCACCTCGCCCTCCCCGAGAGCCTCTCATCCCCTCATCCCGGCACCCTGTCACTGAGGAATGGCCGGTGCGGCGGGCCGGGCCAGAGTGGGACACAAGAGCCGCTGTTGTGAGGACGTGTGTTTTAAGCAGAGCCAGAGGGAATCAGCGCAGATGAGGCGTGTTTGAGGGAGAGTTTGGATTCAAGTCATATCTCTTCTTTTTGATGACATCCTTTTATGGCTTGGTTTGACTGAAATCGTATGAATGTGTGCTGTGAGGAACGTGGACCGTGTGTGTGTGTGTGTGCATAATAACACACTGACAGTGAGGGTGGTGGCTCTGTCTCAGTGATTTATGAGAGTGTGCAGTGAAGGGTCTTCTGAGCAGGATATTGTTCCCTGACTGGTGACTTCTGCCTCTCTCTTTGTGTGTGTGTGTGTGTGTGTGTTTCACAGCAAGAAAGATTAAGAGGCAGAGTACTGCAGGTGAGCCCTCAATGTAATCAATCACCACCACGTCACAAGGCCCAGGCTTTGTGGATTACCCCTTCAACTGATATGTAGTTCAACTCCACATTTCTTTTGCATCTTCATTATTTCTCTGGCAGATAAAGACAGAACACACTCTGCATCTTTATTTTAGTTCAGGAAAGGAAGATAATAATCAACTCCATGGTTGAGGGTTGGGGTGGCGGGGGGGGCGGCGGGCACAAAAGCTCAACCACATGGCCCAACACGTCCACCATCCTGCACAAACCCCTTCCATCCAGCTCAAACGCACACACACACACACACACACACGCTCACACACACGGTTTGCCACATCAGGATACAGTGCTGCACATGAATTCCGGTTCAAACAGTATTCTGCTCGGCTTACGCCAACAGATAAACCGCAGTTCTTCTGCGACCGGTAATCACATCCTGGGCCAGAGGACAGAGCTGGAACCGAAAGGACTGAAAGGCCAATCAGCCGAACCCACACGAGACGATGCCGTGTCAACGATATAACGTGGAAGCGTCAGTGAAAACAGGGGCCCCATTCGCTGATGTTCCTCGTGAGGCACCAGCGTGATACCTGCTAGCAGCATCATCCTAACGCCAAATTCAAAGACGCATTTGAAGAATAAGAGGCATTCATCAAGAGACCCAGGCCCAATCCCAACGGCCGCCCTAAACCCTAACCCTGAAGCCCAGGGACCTGACGTCACCTGGGACAGTTTGTGAGGCCTTTTAATGGTGAATTTGATGAATAGGAATGGGACAGCGCTTTGCTGCCACACATCACCACGTCACCATGACAACGCCCAAAAAAAGATTTACATTGAGGATCTTTATTCCATATGTTGAACGTAAGTAATTATACATAATGTTTTACTGTTTTTGTCAAAATAGCTGAAGTAAATATTTGATGAACAGATTAATAACTATAGACAGATTTTCTATGATTTTTTCCCCCACCTTTAATCCTTAACGTTTTAAATGAATATAAGTCTGAACACACATGTGCCACGCTCTTTGTTTGCCTATTTTCACGTCTCCACGCATTCCCTGGTTCACTTGTGGGTAATTCCCTTTACGGCTAACTCAGCATCCAATGCTGACTTGCAGAAAGGGTTCGTAAAGGGCTCACGAGGTCTGCCAGAGAGCCATCAAACACTCAACGGTGTGACGGTACTAAATCCTGAGGAGCGAGGGGAGCGCAGGCCGTAATGGTGGCGATTGGGATTGAGTCTCCCTCCCACTAACAGATGATCACATCATTAATGGCGAGTGCTCTGAGAATGAATGGCCAGTTTGAGAGGCATTGGCCCACTACACGGACCCCCCCCAAGGCCAAGACACCAACAACATAGTGGGTTACAATTGGGTTGAGTGTACAGAATGAGACATGTTTGTATAATATGGAAAGTATAATGACATAGAAGTGTGTCACTTTCGAAAAAACGAAATACCACGTAAGCATGTCGATTTTAAAGAACTAGAAAACAGGTGAAACAAAAATTTCAGTGACTGAGATGCGCTGCTGAAAGCTAACTCGCTGAATTTAGCAGAATACTCCTTTACTTCATTTGATTTAATGTTGTTAGCTTTCTTTAATTCACACATTTCATTCATTTTCTTTCAGATGAATGGATTAAATTAGCTTAATTGCACAAAAAAGCCAAGGAAACAACTTACTTTGTTGGACACACTGCAATATATAACTGGGTTTTTAAGGCACTATGTGAAGTTTAAATACCAATATAACACAAATAAAATTAGTTTAAATAATGAAAATGAAAATGAATTTTTAAATGGTTTCAAGGAACAATAAACATAACATCGTAGATTACATACAAAATGTTTATTTAACACCACAATGAAAAGTGTAGACAATGAAAACAAATTCAATGCTCACTGTAATCTTTCCTTGAAACTTTTTCTGGAATGTACACATTGTCGCTGATGACATATTGCTACATGTTATATATATATATTGTAAAAACAAACACAATTTTAACAATTTGATATAGTCCCAAAATCCTGATGAAATACTGTGAATGTCCATGTTTATCCGAGGAAAGAGAGCACGGCAGAAACCTAAACTTACTCATTAATTCAGTTCATATTATTTAAGAAAAACATGCTTTATAGAATATTATTAATTCTATAAAACCTCTCAAATCAACTCATTTTTAATAAATTGTCCGGTCAACACCCAAACTCACAGAGAGGAGGGGTGGAGGTGGACTTGTGTAACCAGCAGGAGGAGAATGAGACTCTCACCGCTGCAAAGCTCCACCGGTCTACAAACATGGCAACAAAAACGCCATTGTGTGGCCTTTCGCCAGCGCCGAGCATCGGCGCTAACAGACATTGTCTTGGCTTTCCCCCTGCTGTGTATTTTCAGAATGATTATTGTATGGCACATACAATATGTTCACGTTGTCATTGTGAAGGGAACGGGGCCTGTTATTATGTCGCAGGAAGTGACCTGCCGGGACCTCTGGTGACCTCAGAGGGAAAGCAGCGACCTCGGACTGACCCGTGCTCCAACGTCGGCTGCTGCGCTGTCCGGCGAGGTGGGGTTCGGACTGAAGCGAGGAAGGCAACAATGTGGTGGAAATTCCCTCTGAGGGGCGCCAGTCATGTTGCATATATTGCCAGGTGACATTTTCTCTGCAGGCTGTTAAATGTCAGGGTCGAACAACGCAGCGTCGCTATCGAACAGAAGGAAGCCGCCAATATTTTTGAAATGGTGGTTTTTGATACTGATGCGCCCTCTTTTGATTAACCAACGGTACTGCTGCACAAATGGGCTTATGCACCACCGATGAACTAGAAAAAGCCCGGGTCCATCTTATTACACTTCTGTAATCTGAAGAAAATAAATTAAACAACGATGAATTTATCAACACTTTATTTCAAATTTGACAGCTTTCCACAGCATTGCCCCCAACCGGCGTCCCATCTCTCATGTCTTTACTCGCATGCAACCTAATCTCATGTATTCACTAATCTCATGGTCAAAAACACGACTTACGAAACAAAAATCATACAAAATGTAGAAAATATGACTGATGATCAAAAACAAACATTTGAGACGGCGTGGAATCAGAGCTTCAAATTTGTTAAAATATAAACGTCAGTTGTGGGTGCGTAGAAAAAAAGGTTGTAAGTGCATAAGAGACGTGGTTGAATGAAGATCTCCTTAATACTTGAGCGCTAGAGATTCAACCTTAGAGTACGGCCGATGAGAGTAAAGACATGAGAACGGAAACACTTGGGCCCTTCTCCTATTAGTTTCCAAAATAAAAGTCCCATAGCCATACATCATTAAGAGGGGAAGAAAAAAAAGAAAAGAAAAAAAGGTTTCAGATTTGAACAGTCAGGTCTCACTTGTGAGCACTGTGACAAAGTTTAAATGTAGCTCAACAAACTCAAAAGTAGACAAACAAAAAACAAAACAAAAAAAAGCCAAAAGTTGTGACTTCTGTGCTGTAAAATTGAGCGCGCAGTGACCTCAAGTTTACCACAAGGCACACACATGTTTGGATAAACCCATCACTACCAGAAGATGTTAACTGTCCGTGACTGGGTTCAAAGACAGTAAGAAAGAAAAAAAAAGAAAAAGTGAGCATTTCTGTCACATTTCCTTTAACTCTCATTCATACAAACAGTCGGATAGTGTGTGTGTCTGTTAATGCGTGCTGATGCGTCGCGGCTGGTTTAGAGGGCGTCCAGCAGACTGTCGATGCGCCCGACCAGCTCCTGTCTCTTAGCGGTCAGAGTCTTCTCGCTCTCGATGTACGCTTCCTTCTTCACCTTTCCCGCCACCAGCCGCTCGGCCTCCTGGCAGGAGCGGGACACCAGCTCTTTCACCTGTCCGTCCAGCTTCTGCACCTCCGCGACCTGAGAGAACACAGAAGGATGGGCGGGGGGGCGGGTCAGCGGTCACGGCGCTTTCAGGTGATTTCACCCAACGCTCTCAAATACGGGGTCACTCACCTTCTCGGCCAAGTCGGAGCCCTCGGCCTTGAGGCGCGCCTGCAGCGAGGTGATTTCGACGGTGAGAGCGCGGTGGTCGGCCTCCAGGGTCTTCCGGCCGCTGTTGAGCGCCCCGGTGTCGCGGGACTGCTTGTAGCGGTTGACCACCTCGTCCATGTGCCGGAACAGACCCAGGCGCTTGTTGACCAGAGTCAGCACTTGCTCGGTGATGGAGGCCACCTTCATGCGCACCTCAGCCGCGGGGTCCTGGGCAAGGAAGAAAGACAGATTTAAATACGGCTTGGTGTTAAGAACTGAAGGAAGCTGGAATGATGCAGAATATCGGCCAAAAGGAGGAGAGTCTGAGGAGAAAACAAGGCCGGCGGAAACCCTTCGTACCTTTGTGATGGCAAAGTCCAGGCGGACATAAATGATGACTGTGAAGAAGAGGATGTAGAAGGCCGCTACAACCAAGAGAGGCTCCTGCAGCATCAGGATCCTGTTGAAGTTATAATGAACCTGGTGATCACAGAAGAGGTTTATTAACTCAGACGGGCATTTATCAGATAGTTAAAGCAGAGAGATGCGAGTAAGTGAAGCAACAGTCAACCCCAGCTGAAACCCTAGAACTAGGCTGATTAATTCTTAAATAAAAATCAAAACCTACACTGACTAAAGTTTCTCCAAGATGGGGCATTGTGTGCTTTTCTCTAACATTTTGTAAAGGGAACACGGAGGCTGTGAGAGCACAGGATTGTAAATAATGTATTATTTTAGTACAGGCAGGCAGATCTTTGTAACATTAACAGCCCATAATGGCAGAAGCCCACAAACAAAAACATACTGGTCATTTTACTGCTCTCCTGGGCATTGTTCCACACAAGTTAAACAACTTTGTTGGGAAAAAAAAAAAAAAAAAACTTCAGATCCTCAAGAAAATCTCAAACAACATTTTTCAGATAACTTCATTGGTTTATACTAGTAGCAGCTAACCTGGTTTCATTGGGCTATTAACACTGTAATAGCACATGTTATATTAGTCCAAGCAATATCCTACAAAATATGCAGGAAAATAAGACATGCATACAATGTAGAATGTCCAAGATACAATTCCTTTCCACTTACCACAACATCCTGAATGTGATGCTCCACTAGGTTGTTCTTTGTGGCGATCAGCACTGGCCGGCCAAACGTATCCAGATACGTATAGTGCAGCTGGTTTGGCATGCGATCGATCTTGTACGGTGTATCCACATGGATGTTTCTGCGAGGACATTACAGCGAAAACATGAGAACCGCATCAAATACAGCAGAACTCTAGACTAACCATACTGGATGGATGGACTTCACCGACCTGGCTCCCTCTGGCAGGATGATTTTCACAGTAAGGGAATCGATCACCTGGTCGTCATACACATGGTCAACCAGTCTCATCTTCAGTGCATACTGGTCACCTAGAAGACAAAGAGCACACCCGGGGATTCAGTCTAAACAAGAAGCTTACGTTTATATCAGGATCACAGTGAGTATCTGGGAATCTGCACTGCTGCGGTGGCCCTAGATCAACGCAGGGTTCGTCTTTATTATCCGCCTCTAGTCTTCTTTTTGTGTGGGTCTTCAAAATATCAGGTGGGAATCAAAGGGTTCTCGTGTGTTCAGGTTGAAGCGGTAAACTAACCCAGAGTGTAAAGGTACTCGTAGCTGGGCAGATTGTAGCCGATGATGTAGTGGGTCTTCCAGCCTCCGAACAAGGGGAAGCGAGGCCTGACCTCCACCTCCACTGAATCATCCAGAACCTGCAGGTGGGAGGTGGAAATGTTGCCAATCTCATCTCTGTAGTAGACGTCCTGAGCGGAGGCAGGAAGGATAGTCTGTCGGGGAGAAAGTATATAGTTTAATTCATCAGCACTGTCACAGTGACAGTGAAAACAACGACAGTGATTTGAGTTTAATGCAACACCTTGAAGGATTTCACAGATGAGATGCCGCTGTCTGACTGCCGCTGATAATCGTAGCGCGAAAACGGCCCCTTCAGGACGGCCCCGGTGTGCCTCAAGTCGATAGTTTCCTCTACAGCAATGTTACCCCAGTGAGACACTTCAATGGTTCGAACGATGCTACTGATGGTGAGGAAGGGCGAGTTGTTTTCGTAATGGATCTTCATCGTATCCTGGACAACAGAGAACAAACACAATGCGGGAGGTATTAAAAAAAACAACAACGCTTCTTTGCAGCGTCACTTGGATCGCATCGGATCGAAGACAATGCTTCATCTGGTCGAGGCTGTACCTCGCTGAACGGCGCCACGTCACGGAAAGGTCCGTACTCAATGATCTCGTCGTTCTTGCTGGGGTTACCCAGCTTGGTGTAGGTTTCCACAGTCTTGGAGGCCAGGCGGACTCGGGTGGTCTGGCTGCGGGTGGGATAGGGGGAGTACATGTAGTGGTTCCCCTGAAAGACCACCAGCTGGCGCTCAGCCTGCGTGATGTGTGTGGGGAAGGGCTTCAGGACGTGGCTCAACGTCATTTCCACCTTGGCTTTTACTTGAGCCCCTGCTGCCAGACTGGAGGGCAGCTGCACTTTGTAAAAAATACCACTGTAGAGAGAGACAAACATTTGCACAAAGCCATAAAATATCAGCTTCTCATGGACAAAAAAAATGGCTAACTGGTCTTAGGGCATTCGTTTTGGGATGCTTTAAATGATTAAAATTACTTTTTCTTTTAGATTTCATTTCTTAAAATTGTACATCTAAAATGCAGAAAAATGACTAGTAGCCATTAATTGTTTTTGTAGCCAAATCGATTTGTTTTTATAATAAAAGTCACTTGACTGACAGTTGCACAGAAAGGCATCTGTTAAAGGTTTTTAAATTGCGGGAGCAATGGAGGAGAACAATGCGAGGAGTCCGATCTCGTACCTTTGGCCCGGAGTTGATGCCTTTTGAAGTTCAAGTGTCCCATCCTCCTCCTCATCACCCTTCACCTGTGGAAACATGGTACTTTGAGCTTACTCTCTGGGAAAGAACCAGTGATATAAAATATAAATACACGACAAGTGAGGTGGAGAGGTATCAAATGCGTTGTATAATAAATTCATTGAAGTAACCAGTGCATCTTATTTTTCTAGCCAAAAAACGGAGCGTTGCCAGAGCGTCACACATGATAGAGGAAGGGGGAAGTCCTGCGCAGTCAAACACGGAAGTGAGCTGCCCAGCTCATACGTGTCATTCAGCCACAGCGTGCAGCGCTGCGGAAGTTAACGTCCTACGATGCACATCTTTAGCGATTCAAAAAGGAGTTGAGCTCGACTGATGGGTACATTTCTACGCACAGCGAATGAGCTCATGCCGATACTTTGCACGAAGCAGTACGACGTCACACGAATAAATGGCTGCACTGTTAGCCCGCAGGACCCGAATGAATCGCATATAAGGCTAGCGAGTTAGCTAGCGGTGTGTCATGCATCTATTGGGCACACTGTACCATCGTATGGTGGCATGCCATTAACCAGCAAACCGTCACTTTATGTCAATTTAGGGTACAAAAAATGTATTGTTGGAGAGCAGCAAGATGTGCAGAACCAATAAATGAGTAGCATGCTATGAAGTCGCTAGCTAGCAGGCTAACACCTAGCGAGCCGACTCGCGATACAGGCGTTATTTGATTAACTGGCGTTGGGCTCACCGAAGCTCCGATGTACGCCAAGTGCGGGGCCAGGTCAGGCTCCACCGCTAATAGGAAGCTGTGGACGGCAGAGTTTCCCTGGTTGGACAGGACGATCTCCGCGGTGATCTTGGCCAGATGACTCCCCAGGTCCACTGTCCTCTTTACCTCCTCGTTCACCAAACCGTCCGCTGAAACCTCCAAGCCCGCGGTGGCCAGAAGCAGCAGGCAAGCGGCGAGAATTAGCGACTTTCGAGTCATGGCTGGAGAAATTTAGAGCTGAATAACGGGGACAAGAAAGGACAGCTCAAGGGAAACGTAGAGCAGCAAAGAAAGGCCGCCGTGCCGCTCTACATCAGAAAGGATGACGCTTCTTTCCGTCCGACGTGATGACGTCAAGGCGCGCTCTTTACTACGCGTCGTGCGTCGGCAGCAGTGTTTGCACAAGCAGAAAAATCGTTCAAAATGGTTCAGTTCAGAAGACAGGCAATCAAATATGACGCTTGAAACCCGTACCTCCAAATGTTGATCTCTGACGGAGTGTCTCGCCATTAAACATTATGGTTAGCTAGTGGCGTAGGCGGCCTAACGACGCCGGTGTTGGTAAACTATTAAACAATGTAAGTTAACAGTGGTTCAATTCTTTTTAGTTAAGTTATTAGTTCATTACTGACGCTTTTTAGAATTTCATTGCGCCGAAATAGCTCAGTTGGGAGAGCGTTAGACTGAAGATCTAAAGGTCCCTGGTTCGATCCCGGGTTTCGGCAGCAACCGGTTTACTTTTAAACACTGCAGGAGGAGTTTTAGTGTTCTGAACATTGATTGTGGTTTTGGTAGTATTACATTATATTACTATAATATTAATGATATCTTTGGTCAGAGTTGTCAGGCCATATTAAAGTCCACTGGTCACACTTTAATGTCACACATTACTCAGCATTGCAAACAATGTAGTTAAGGACTAAAAGATAGTTTAATTGTAGAGCGCTGAATGAAAAAGTCTGCCAAATGTCTTAAATGTTACTGGAGATTCAGTTCAGTCGAACATAAAAAAGTGACACAGAATACACAAGACTGGAATTACATTAAGAAAATAATTTTGTCTCAATTTAATTTGAATGGAAAGAACAAAAGTCTTAATCTAATGATATGTTGGTCATCATCAGGGTATAAAGAGCTGGTCAGAGAGGTCATGTGAGCAGCAGATGCTACTGGACACCTGGAAAGTACTCAAAATACTTAATTACCCCCAAAAGTCCAGCACATATAGACAATGTGCAACACCTGTAAAAGTTAGCGCCAGTTTTACACAAATAATAGGAACTGACAGGGAACTGGGTCCCAAACTTAAACCCCTGAGAGAGTAACACAACAGCAAACAAGGTTGTGAAGAGCTAACAAAATTGTCATGACAATTCAAGAGGCTCCCCGGTGGCTGACACAGCTGATATCAGAATGCCCTACAAAGCATGCTGGAGTAAAATAATAAATAATAATGACAGCATTGAGGCAATAATCACATTGGGGGAGAGTGGGAAGGTCACATTTTAGTCCCAGACCCCCTTTTAGGTTATTCTGGCCAATCGTACATTGCTAAAAGAGAGGACACATTTCACTTAAAACATCAGCATAATATTAAAGGCTCGGGTAGTTTCAATGTTTTCACTTGCTCTTATGTTCTTTTGCACCGTGTGCCTCTGGATCTATATTTTAACGTTACGACATGTGTTATTGTCACTTCTCGGGGTTTCTGTGTAACAAGGCGTGTCCAGGGGCGTGACGTCAGCTCTCGCCGACAGAGGTTGTTTTGGAGGAAGTGAGCAGACGTCGGCTAGCAGATAGCACGTTAGCTCGACAGGAAAGGCAAGCGTCAACGGTAGCGGGGCGAAGCAGACCATTGTACCAAATCGCCTCCGTTGAACGAAGGGGGGACATCGGCAGTGGCAGATTTGACTGTGATAAGTAGTTAGCCGCGGAGCTAGCTACCGGAGGCGACTCAGCTGTCGACGCTTTAAGCGGTGTGTTTTCCTACGGCGGACGTTTATAGGAGCCGTTAGCTTGTTAGCTAGCCTGCGCGTTAGCTAACGCTTCCGAACCAAGGCAGAAGAAAAGTCCAGTCTTGATACATATTTTTTTATATCGCTGGATCATCGCCCAGGTTAGTTTCTGCTCACGTTTCTTGCTGGTTTTACTAACGATGTATATTCACGATACAACATCAGATGTCGTCAACCAAGTTCAACATTTGTTAATAAACCTTGTCCAGTTAACGTTAGCTTACATTAAGAAATGTCACTGGTGTGGAAATTGTCAGCTTCCACGGTGTGTAAAAATAGTTACATAATAGTGTTTAATCAACGATACTATTACCCAACCAACTATTCATTGTCTCTAATTATTTACCCCGCAATCTAGCAATTGAATCCCTAAATGTAGTGTTTAATACCGCGGCAGCCCGCTGCGTGAGTGTCTGTTTGACGTCTTCACGGTTAGGTAACGTTAAAGAAGTGAGACGGGACTCTCCGCTTCAGTTTATTTAGTGGAATTAAATACACTAGGAGGGATCGAACGATTGATCAAAGCTATGGATTATAACGGTTAGTGTGTAATGTGTGCAGCCGCAGCAGCAGCAGCAGCCTTTGGCGTGCTAATCACGCCTGCCAAGTCATGGCTCCGTTGGTCCTGTGTTCTGTAACCATGTGATCGGTCCCTGACACGGTGTCATGAGGTGCAGATTATACGAGCTGCCGCAATGGATCCGTGCTAGTTTCCCCCCACAATGGCACGGGTGTGGATACAGGCTCTCGCCTTTTATTCACATACGTTAGCTTGTTGCAAAGTGATGTGTGGCGTAGAACTATTCTAGATTATCATTAAGAACGATCATGATTTCTTTCACCTGAGCGGAACGATGGTTTAAAGTGGGTAATAGGGTTTGGAGTTTGGTCCTTGCAGCAATAGATAGTTGGTTTATTGTGACAAAAGCAGATTCGGTCAAAGAAAGAGAGAAAGAAGAGTGTCGGCGATGACTTGAGCTGCTCAGAGATGAGAATGTTTCTAACCACCACCAGTCATTGGTTTGGTACAATAACAAAAAAACAATCTGTACTTTTGATGATCCAGCTCATGTAAAACCACATGTATGGTTGACAGTTTTGTTGTCCCTTTCAGTATGACATCATGTAAAAAATTGGGGGAATTCATTTTATTTTATATCAAGCTAATATAGATTAGTTATCGGGGGAAGGACGAGTAAATTAGAAGAGAGAACTTAGTTAAGTTTAGTTTCCAAGTAGTTTAACTAAAATCTGAGTTCTATCTCAATAGTGATTGAATTTCGACACCTGTTTGATAGAACAAGTACATTTATCAATTGCAAGCTTGTGTTTTAGTACAGCATAGACATGTAATAATTAATATGATTCGTGGTTCTAACCGGGAAATGTTGCCGTGTGTGTTTCACTTTTGTTTTCAGTTTGTTGTAATGTCCAGCCTCGTATAAGTACAATGAAACACAGTTGTTTTTTTCCCCATTGAATGGTTTGCATAAACATCACCAAATGAATGCTTTACAGTTTAAAAATAACAAAAACAGCTGTGGTGCAAAAATAGTAGCGCCGCCATTGTTACATTTTGGATACAAATGAAAAAAAAAAGTGTAGTGAATTGTTTCATGAGCCGTATGTGGAGCCCTGTCACAGTGCAGCATTGCGCTTCCTCCCCGTTACTGTATTTGTTTTTGTGAAGTGAAGGAAACTTACGTATCGGAAAGACACTGTGCTCCGTTTCATTCCGGGAAACGTCCAATTTCTTTGGAGTGTATTTGCAGAGGCACACGGGCCTTATCATCTTTCTGTTAAACTCGTTGGCCCATCCGAAGGGTCGTCCCCGGGGCACGGCTCCTGTTGTCCTCTTGTTTCAGCAATCGCAGCGCCGGCCCTTTTTTTTTTAAGACCCCCCCCCCCCCCCCCCCCCTCTTATGTAACCCTTTTTTTTTTGTGTATTTATGGTTGTTGTCTTTATAGCTGTGGCACAATGACATCAAGGAAGAAAGTACTACTCAAAGTCATCATCCTCGGAGACTCTGGGTGAGTAAGCTACGGGGTGAGACAACAACAAAGAGTGATGCTCGATGGGTTATTGTAAAGAAAACACCTAATTGGAGTGTTTGATTTGGTCTACTAATACTTTCATTCAACAAGCTACCTCACCCACCAATTCATCCCAATGATGTTTTCTGTGTCGCTTGTTTCTGAGTCTCTCCTGTGATTTATTTCCCACTAGAGTTGGGAAGACCTCGTTGATGAACCAGTATGTGAATAAGAAGTTCAGCAACCAGTACAAAGCCACAATAGGTGCTGATTTCCTGACGAAAGAAGTCATGGTGGACGACAGACTCGTCACAATGCAGGTACGGAGAAATGATGCACTGGAGAATTCCACTTGTCTCATTAAAACACGATCATTCGATGAAAGACAATCACGGGATGCAAAATGTATTTATAAAACTTTTAATTTGATTAAGTTTAAAATGAGCTGGAGAACTGATCAGTTCTGCTCACTTTGATTCTTTCCATTTAATGTTTGTGTTGTGCACACGCCACAGAGAGGCTACAACACTGCCCTTTTCTACACAAACAGAATTATCTCTGGCAATGACGGGACGAATACAAACCACTCCGTCACCCGTCAAAACGAATCCAACACCGACAAAGTGTCTAGATTTAATCACCAGTTTAAGTTAAATACCGGAGATTAAGTAGATCTGATTAACGTGAACCGGTCAAAGTATTACCGTAATCTCTTCCATTACACTGATCGGATGTTTCTGTGAACGTAAACACACAGCGTTTTTATCTGCTGTCTGTCTTTAGATTTGGGACACAGCAGGTCAGGAGAGGTTCCAGTCCTTAGGCGTGGCGTTCTACCGCGGAGCAGACTGCTGCGTCCTGGTGTTTGACGTGACGGCGCCCAACACCTTCAAGACACTCGACAGCTGGAGGGACGAGTTCCTGATCCAGGCCAGCCCCCGAGACCCGGAGAATTTCCCCTTTGTGGTGCTGGGCAACAAGATAGATTTGGAGAACAGACAGGTCGGTCCAGATAATCCCAATCTTTTGTTTTTCAAGGAAATGTACAAAAAGGCTTGGATTAAACGGTCATGTTCCCATGCGTCTAAGTTTGACCGAAGCTATTTCTTGGTTTCAGGTGACAACCAAGCGAGCACAGGCTTGGTGTCAAAGCAAGAACAACATCCCATATTTCGAAACCAGCGCAAAGGAGGCAATCAACGTGGAGCAGGCCTTCCAGACCATCGCACGCAACGCCCTGAAACAGGTGACCGTCCGGCAGGGAATCCTGTCTGGTGGCTTCCATTGATGGATGCTGTGAGATTGTACCGCGAAAGCAGGGAGATGCAAGTGTTTTTTGTCTTGATTCCAGGAGACCGAAGTGGAGTTGTACAACGAGTTCCCCGAGCCGATAAAGCTGGACAGGAACGAGCGAGCCAAGCCGTCAGCGGAGACCTGCAGCTGCTGAGGGCCCTGAAGATGGGTGGGGGTGGAGGGTGGGGGGGGGGGCGCCGTCTCTGTCTCTGCCCTCGCTACCCTGTCTTGCCTTGTCTATATATCCCTTATCCCATGGCCCACTGTGTTAATCCCTAAAGCCCAACATACAGGCGGCGTCCCACTCATCGAGTATACTGCTACAAACAAAACATGCGCTCGCCTCACATGTAAACAAAACACACATTTTCTATAAAAATCGGAGTCTCCCAGCCTAAAGAACACCCTATGGAAGAATCATGGAATTTACTCGTATGATGCTTATTACTTGCCAGTGTTTTCATGATGGTGGTGGTTTGGGCTAACCTTGTTTTTGGTTCCATATATATATTGCTGCTTTCATGCCCAGTTTTGGTTTGAACTTTTTGTAAATGGAGACATTCTATCTACATGTTTGTGTTGAGGGGACACAATGCGCCCCCCCCCCATTTCCCCATTTTTTTCTCATTTGTGTTGTAGCTTAATTTTGCTTGACTCGGAAAACACTCGTTACCATGGTTCTACTTTACCTCACACAGTCTAAAAAAAAAAGTCTGAGCTGAAGCAGTCAAATATCAGAATGTGTGAAAGTGCATGTGGGTCACAATAATATGCTGCTCGCTGATTCTCTCAAATTGGCACATCATTGAAAATCTAGTTCCATGCACTTTGCTGTCGTCCTCAATTCCCTCTGGAGCCACAGTAAACACATTCGTAGCTCAGGTTGAGGACGTGGTTTGAATCCAGACTCCTTGACGTAAAAGCTGTCTGTCCCTGACGCGTCTGTTCGCTGGTTCTCTATTGGGAAAATGAAGGCGTGTCATGTAATCAGTTATTCTTGCTACATCTGTCGAACCAAATGAAGACAGCATGTCGTTCGACCCGATAGCCCCAGAGAGGAGAGATCTTCCTTGAGTATAAATATCATTCATTACTGAGTACTATTAGTTAGTAAATTGGTTTTTACCGCCAACAATCGGAGGACTTTGTATATTTGCAAACCTCTCATCACTACTATTTTGTTGTAAATCTCCATATCCGTCTGCCAGTTGCTCGTGTTGGCAAACAATTTAAGTGCTTGACATTACTTTTAACCGATCAGATCTTTAACCGTCTGTTCGTATTATGTTAAAACTTTGAAATGCATTATAGATTACAAGATAGCATACATACTGTAACTTTTGAAAGAATAAAAAATTAAAATGTTTGGGGAAGTATTTGCATTAGTCATTATATTATTAATATGAAATGCTTAGCATCTACATTGTTTTGAAATGTCTTTGCATTTCAAGTAATAAGGGTAATAAAAACCTTGATTAAACATGCTGTCTTTATTTCTGAGATTTATTGATACCACCTTGCAATAAAATAGTCTCTGTGTAGCAATTTTATTATTTTTAAAACAGTTAACGAGCAAAAGCATGTTTTTCTCGCAACTGTCAAGATAGTTGATTGGAATAAATAATGTCTAAATGGTCTTTTAAGCACTGCCGTTTCAGTCCCAGTTCATCTCTTCATTTGGTTCTTGGTTTCTTATTGGCCCCCTGAAGCCACTGTCGAAGTGCTCCTGTAGACTTGCACTCAGCCTTTGCCTCGCTTTCTTGCTCTTCTTTAGTCTCACACGCGGAGGGCTCCTTTCTCTTTGAGGGTGCGCTGCTCTTCAGCCAGCTCATCATCATCTTACTGCTGGCTGTGGGTTTGGGCTCCTGTGAGTCAAAGGTCAGATTGCTTAGCTTAAACCTTTCAATTCACCACAGGAAGTCAAATGACCCAGTGTATCTGATACCTTTTTGCTGTTGGGGTCTATGGGCTGAAGGCACTCCGGAGAGTTGTTGCGAGAGTTGTTTACTAATGAAGAAACTGGGTGAAAAGTCAACGTGTTCTTAGACTGAAGCAGTTTCATGGCATCTTGAGTCTTCACCTCTCCAAAATCCAGCCATCGTCTCACTTCTTCCTCTCCATCCAGGACCGCTGGCATCCTTAACCGCAGAGGAATTTAAGACTTAGAAGAAAATGGAAAAAAAAGGGTTTCGTCCTTAACTGTCCTCACCTATCGTGAATGCCTTCCAGGTTCATGGAAGCGTTCACAGTGATTACACTGTATGTGTAGAGGGGTTCTCCACCACCAGGAGGTGTCCAGCAGTCAAACAGTCCAGCCATGGTGAGCAACTTCCATCCAGTCCACTCACTTAGTGGTTCTCCTCCCTGACCAACAACAGCATGCAGCAAACGAGTACAGACAGAAGAATTAGCAGATTTATATATACATATTTATATATATATATATATATATTATGATTTGATAGGTTTTGATGCCGGTACCAGGCTAAGGATTGTATCAAATTAAGTATGAGTTTGCATGTGGCGTGACATTTTGAAAGAAACACCTGGAGGACACATGCACATTTTGGCTTTGGTTCGTCTCCCACACAGGATATTTTCAGTCATGGTAATTTCCGCCCCAGCTGCATTCTCTCTACTTCTCATCTGGATGGAAGTAGATGTTCACGGTAGTAATATTGCTATAAAACCCCAATATGAACCTCTGTCAAGTCAGGGGAGGCCTTCCCTGGAGGGCTCACTGTCTCTGAATTCTCCTTATTGCGGGCTGAGGTCGCGGGGTCATCCTCATCCTCAGTTTTCTTCTGACTGGTTCCCTGGGTCTGAGGGAAGTAGATGAAGAACGGCTGCTTGTCTTTTGCCTGCCTCTTCCACTCATAAAAGCCATCAGCCAGGATGACGCAGCGCTGTCCTTTTATCAGGGAGTCCTTTGGGGAGAAAGTGAATCGACATTGTCGTGCATACATCCAGCAGAGACTGCGACAGAAAATACTAAAGGACAAAAAAGCTTAGCAGCGCGTAAACCGCACGCACCTTGTAGGTTTTCTTCTCCAATATATTTTCACTGCGGCAGTTGTTGGTACTGTATTGCATCTTGCTGGGATCGTTCTCCTTGAACCAGGAAGGAACCAGACCCCAGCGCATGGAGGCCAACACACACTCATCCACAGGAGCATTCTGCAGGGAGTGAACACAATAATAAAGGGCCAAAGGTATATTACCCTATTCAATGCAATAACTCCTCAGTATATTCCAACTTGTGGTGGCTTTCAATGGTCCTTCATTTTGAGACTGTGGCAGAGAGGCATTAACGAGTTGTGTCTGTGGTTAATTATTTTAACTACTAATTAGGTGTGTGTTGCTGTATTGAATTCAGATGCATCTTGCAGTGTGTCCCTCCCCTCGACAGTTATCTACCAAAGGATAATTTGTTTTGAGATGTAACGTTGACAGCTTCACACCATGGCTTCCTATTCTATTCTATTCACTTGAAATAGTTCACCACACCTTATCAAAGTGCCTCTGGGACAGCAGGACGGGACTCCTAGACTGGGGGCTCTTGTTGTAAGAGGGTCGGTAGGTGTCCGCGTCTCCATCCCTCCAGCGGGGCTGTCTGCGCTGCCCTGCCCGGGTTCTGTAAGAACAGGCTCGGCTCACCTCGTCAGAAGCCAGCGTACACGCGGTTCTTCCACACATTTTGGGCGAGAATGGAACTCTTCGGCCGCCTGAGAAAGAATTTACGGCGAGCGTTTAAAATGTGTTAGGCTAACTAACGTCAAGTTAACATGTATTCCGTATGGCTTAAATTGACTTTAGGAAACAAAATATTTATTTTAACAGAAAATACCACCAGTAACGCGTTTAGATGATATTGGTCGGCCTACCTGCTTGCGTGTGTCCGAGTCGTAAAGTTGAGCTCTATTATATTTCGTGTTATTATTAGCATGGCTGGAGGATGCTAACGTTAAGCACGTGACGTAAACGGAGGGACTTTCGCGGGCAGAGATTTACCGCACGTGACCCCGTGACGTAGTGCAGCCCCAAGATGGCGACACCCCGCAGAAAACTATCAAATTCAAAATAATAACAACAAAAAACCATAGCGTATTAATGTATTACATATGAGTAGTATTACTTAACACACACACACGGCCGTGTAACTTTTAACATTTCAAGTTTCCGTAAGTGGTAACGTTAGTATCGGGAGCTGTCTATCCAGCAGTTGCCATGGTGACAGTAAACCGGCCAAAAGTCAGGCAGTCTTCCGGTCAAACTCCCTATTCTTGTCAGCAGGTGAGGGCAACAAACGCTAAATCAGGAGGTCAACGTTTTGCTTGAAATAGTATGTATAATGTATACCGTAATCTAGTCGAGAAGACAGTGTCTGCTGCTGGCTACTTTGCCAATACGTCAATACAGTCGAGTATTAATGTTGCACCACGCCTCGGGTGTTAGCTTATAAACCTGACAGGTGAAGCCTTCTCTGCACAGCAATTTGACCTACTTTATGGTCCAATGCACTTGGTAAGATATTGACCTGCATGAACACTAGCCAGAGAGACACCTGTAGTTATTTACAGTGTTTTATTCATGTGGACGTAATCGTACTCTCCCCTAGCAGTCCTTCTCTGACCAAACCATGAAGTCAGAGCCAAAGAAAAGGTTTCACTGAAGAATGAGAGCTGATGTTAGTATGGAGGCCACCAGGTCAAAACAGTCTGTCCAGCAGGGGCGAGACAAACACCAGGCTACCGCCACACCAAACGCAACATACCCAGGCGGCGGTGAGAGAGAGAATGCAACAAAGGAAACATGGTGTCCACTTTCACATGCAAAGGATCAGACAAATTTTACTGGATCTCACTGAGATGTATTTTCAATCATATTAATCTTGAGTTACCTCTTCTTTGATCTTGCTCTCCCTGCAGTTTATGTACCATGTCTACATATTGCATATGTGTGCTTGCATTTTACCCATCAGATAATCTGCAAAGAGCTTTTCAGACAAATAATCACATAAACGATTCAATAGATTTTGTGTGTGTGTCAGATACACCTCCTAAGGGCAAAGCTTGCCGCAGCTTCGTCCGTTTAACCGTTCTCAAACAAGAGACATTGAAGAAAGCAAAAGCCATGGCAGAAAATGCTGTGAAGGTGTGTTAACATCACTGGATCTACTGCAAACAAGCTTTCTGACCACCTTTCTGATTGTTCCACAGAGTTGTTGATTATGTTTGTCTGCTTTGATTCCTCTCAGATGCATAAGGTGTTCTCAGTCCAGGGCCCTTACTCTGTTGTCAGGACAGCACTCAGGGCCAGAGGCTGGGTGGAACAGCGCATGCACTGCCCAACCCAAAACAATCACCGCCATCCCGGCAATGAGAGCAGAGCCTGCAACACCGATGCTGGTGACGGTCATCTAGAATGACTCTTTCTGAAATCATGTTGCTATTACTGGATGTGGATATCTGTCTTTAGCCTATCATTTATTTACATAATCCTTCTTCTCAGATAACTCCGGCAGTCTCGTAAAAGAGCAAGATCCAGATGGACTGTATGGTCTCATGGTAAAAATAACATTTGTGGTTGTAGGCTGACATGATATGCAATGGCCGAGAAGTGAAAGATTGCTGTTGCCGGGCGTGTTAAACATGGTGCACAAGTAGCTCTCACACTTTCCCTCATACAGTCTCGCCTGGTGCGGAATGAAATGGTTTATTTCTATTGGACGAACCGTAGGGACACCATCAACACCAACAGCTTGAAAAAAGAACAGATTACCAACCATTTTGCAAAATCAGAAAGCTTCACCACCAAGGTACAGTTACATGCTAAAACCATTTGTTACAGCAAAACAAATAATATTCAGTTTTATCTTGTCACAGCCAGCATCATTCTATTTTCCTTTTCTTTGTCAGGTGGGACTGTGTGTGAACCTGAGGAACCTGTACTGGTTTGATTCCGCTGACCCAGACACCTTCTTCCCTCGCTGTTACAGACCAGGAGCGCAGGATGAGATGCCGGCTTTCATTGGTCAGATCCGACCCAACGGCCCATCAAACTATACACCTATCTCTTTTCTATATGTCCAGCATCCTTCCACTTTGACTCGCAGAGAAAAGCTTAGAACACATGCCTCACTGTCTCTGTCCTTTTTGTAGCGGACTACAGGAGGACAGCCTGCAGCAGTTTTTTGAAGTACATTGTGGAGAGAGAGCAGGGTGTTCAGAGAGTGGGAAACAGCCACAGCATTCGAGATGTGAAGAAACCAAGCAAACTGCCATCTAGTCCAGTGATTCTATCGCAAATGCTTGATAGCGCACTTAAAGTATGTCACGAGTTTCTGGAGAGTCTGGAGCATCGTGACATTGACATACGCTCTGAGACACCACCGACACTTACAAAGGAGGAGTGGACAGAGTTCATCAACGGTTACTACCTCGCTGTTCAGTGAGTACTGTGTGAGGAATAATAGTAAACTGGCAAACCAGAGCGCTATTGAGTATCTAGTATACAGCCTTTCTGTTTCCTCGCTCAGTGAAGGAGTCGAGATCGAGAACAGTGACCGTTTTGTGACCTGCTGCAAAGCCATGCTACAGAGGCTGAGGGAGGTCAGTCCACAGCAAGACATAGACGGCACAGACAACATCTGGATCATCAAACCCGCAGCAAAGTCTAGGGGCAGAGGTGAGAAGTTCGACACTGTCAAACTCTTCACGTGATGTATAACATAGTCCTGACTGACCTGCAACACCTGCCTAGTAGGTATCAAATGTGCCCGGCGTCTGGATCGTATTCTCAGCCTGGTGGGCGGTGATCCAACCCTAAAGACAAACAGCAAGTGGGTAGTGCAGAAGTACTTGGAGCGACCTTTGCTGGTGCACGGCACCAAATTTGACATTCGGCAGTGGTTCCTGGTCACCGCCTGGAACCCTCTGACTGTGTGGTTCTATAAAAAGTGCTACGTGCGCTTTGCTACGCAGCCTTACTCACTGCATACACTGGACAGGTAAGACGGGAATACTAAGAAAGAAGTTGGAGAGTAGGAGCAGCGAGAGGCTCTAATCACTCCCTCCTAATTCATATTTCAATATTCAATCTCTCCAATTCCCTCTCATTTTTCTTTCTAATCTTGGCCTCTTGATCCCATTCTTTCAGCTCTGTCCACCTGTGCAATAACTCCATCCAGAAGCACCTGACACCCTCCCGAAAACGTCATTGCAGTATCCCAGTACACAACATGTGGTCGGACGACCAGTTCCGGAGATTCCTGTCCAGCCAGGGCCGGGAAGCTGAGTGGCAGACAGTGATAGTCCCTGGGATGAAGGAAGCTTTGATCCACACAGTGCAGACAACACAGGATCAGATGGAGTCACGCAAGAACTCATTTGAGCTCTACGGTGCTGACTTCATGTTAGGTAGAATGGGATCCCTCTAAATGATGCCATATTACAGGATCTGTTATAGGACTGCAAATGTAATGTGTTTTTTCAGGAGCTGTAAAAAGCATTTACTTATATTCCAAATGACAGCACTTTTTTAATAAACACAATTGTGAAAACAAAGCAATAATTACAACTTAGATATTTTGTTCCGCATTACTTAGGTCAGGATCTGCGTCCATGGTTGATAGAAATCAATTCCAGCCCCACGATGGCCGCCTCCACCCCTGTGACAGCCCGGCTCTGCACTGCTGTGCAGGAAGACACGTTACGCATCGTCCTGGACTGGACGGCAGACCACACTGCAAACACCGGAGACTTTGAGCTCATACATAAGCCGGTAAAGCAGAGTTATCCCCCACCCCCTTTTCGGCTTATGGTGTACATTCAAATGTCCCACTTTGAGAGGGAGATTTACATCACTTCCAATGCTTTCTGTCTCTAGGCAGCAGTAGACGTGCCACAGTATGTGGGGGTCAACCTGAATGTCGATGGCTACAAGATCCCGGGCCCCTGCTCACTTCCTCCAATGCGGTCTCCCAACCGTTCAACAGCAAAACGCCACGGCCCCGTCAAGAAGCAGCCCAAAGCAGAAAAAGTAACGCCTCTGCCTAAGTTGTTGTCAAAAAGTGCACAGAGTCAGATCAATTACATCAGCAAGGGGGTTACGCCACCTCCTGCTCCTCCTCTCCCCCCTGTGCCAGCTCCTGTTAAAATCTTCTCACCTAACCTGCCGATGACTATAACAGCAAATCCCCTGCACATAAGCCCCGCGTCCAACTCTGTACTTTTGTGGAAGAGAAAACCAAAGGAGGTCCAACCCCACACATCTTTGTCTCTGTCCAAAACAGTCCAGACAAGCAGTACCTTGAGTGATTTTGTTAATGCTTTGGGGTCATGACATTGTCAATCTAATAGTAGATTTCCATGTCTTGTTTTTTACTTTTACTACAATTGTAAATGTTTCAATGTGATAGAACACAAAAGTGCCCTTGATAATTTGGTTAATAAACATAATGTTTACTTTGTACTCGAACTATTTTGCTTTGATTGCTAGTAAATATACTTTCAATACTGAAATGTTCACAGAAAAGTGTGAGGATTATTGAGAACAGGGAAACTGTTTCAGTAATGTTGTTACTTTTCATAATTGGCATTTCAGGGCTATTAAATGTCTTTCTCCACCTGTGTACTGTAGGGGAGTAAAAAAAACACATTGCCTCAAGTAAGACAATATGTTTTGTTGTAATACGGTGATAAAAGTCCACTTTTACACCCAAAACTCAGAATAAGACATACGAAAAATGAAGTATAATTACTATTATATAGTAAGAACCCAACAAAACGGGAGAAAACAAACACATTTGAGTCCATTGGACATAACTGCACTTTAGGGCCGAGCCTCCACTGCAGTGACACACAATGGACTGCTGGCGGCGACATTTCCAGCTCGAAACACACCCGACGAAGAAGAGGCGCTACGCGACAGCAGCAGACTCCCCCCCGCAGCTCCACCTTCCGCAACCGAACCAAGAAATGGCGGCGTCCGTGTGCCGAGTGGGGAGCACTGTGGGTCAAGCCCTCGCCAAAACCCGGAGTGTAAGTACAGATTCAAAGGTTTACTGGAATAGCGCAGAGCAACGTGACATATCCGAATGTCCGAGTGTGCTCTCCCTGGCGTCCGCCCAACGCCGAGAGGAGACCGCGGAGAGCCGTCCGCTGGGCACAACGGGAACGGGTTAGCTAACCGGTTAGCATACGTTAGCTAGCAGCGAGAGCAAGGTCAACTGTCAAATGACGCGGCGCTGACCGTCTAAACCACTTGACGTGGAACGTCCGTTTAAGTAACGTGTTGGTAAGACCGACTGGTGACCGGTGTTTAACAAAGTCAGCCGCTGTAACGTTAATCTCTCGTCCTAACCTTCCAATCGCACCCCAGCTAACGAGTCTCCTGCTAGCGGCGTTAGCATGGTGACTTTGAATACTTTGTCTGACGTCCAATGGTTTTTATTGTTGAATACGTACTTCTATATTATGTCGACAACATAATCAATACACAGATTTGCGAATATTTGTGAAACGAGTTCGAGAATCAACTTCGTTAGGTCATTATCCTCCGTGTTATTGTTAATGGTTTGTAATGCAGCTAAAGTCAATATCGGTATAAATTGTTCTCAGAAAGTTATGAAGTTACATTTTGCAATTACCGTCTGAAATTAAAATGGTTTTAAAATGACAATCCACTACCAAGCAATGCAATGTGATGGATTCATGTTGAAATTGATCGTTCTACGTCTCATCATCAATTGTTGCATATGGTGGTTTTAGTATCAGCCTATCGGAGCACATGAACGCTTATTTTTAACTGCAGTAATCCATGTTATTCTAACTGTACTTAAAAAAAAAAAGTACAGTATTTAAAAATGACGTGTGTTGCTTCTTGTCATCTCTTCTCCTGCAGCCCGTCCTGCTGTCTCTGAGGCGTGGACATGCCTCCGTCAGCTATGCCCAGAGCCTGCTGGGAGCTCCTGAAACACGCCTGACTACCCTGGACAATGGGTTGAGAGTTGCATCTGAGGAGACTGGACATGCCACTTGCACTGTAAGAACCAAGCAATGGGGTGGGGTCTATGTTTAAACCACTTTAAGGTGGTAGTTTTACCACCTTGTAGACATGCAATTTCCCTCTTAATGAGTTGTATGTGCTGGTGTCAATAATCATCTTTACCCTGTGATAGGTTGGACTGTGGATCGGTGCTGGTAGTCGCTATGAGAGTGAGAAGAACAATGGCGCAGGCTTCTTTCTGGAGCACATGGCTTTCAAGGTAGAGATTAGTATGCTTTATGACCTTAAAAGTAGTATAGAGGTTGACTTTTCCTTTAAACAAATACATTAGTTTTAGATTCAGTGTTATTCACTATGACACATTGACTGCATCCTTTGGGTTTACGTGTTCTCTGCAATGCATTTCCTCTAAACATGATGGTTTGTCACACTATCTCAAAAGCAAACTATGGAAACTGCATGTGATTAGCTGAACCATCGGTCCGTCTTTGCCACACACATAGCTGCCACTAGCTCCACACGAGATGCTGATTATTTTGCGCTCTGGCTCACCGAATACATGCTCATTACTCTAAGCCTGGATTGATTTTTAGTTGATCTGCCATTATTTCAAGAGTCCATTGTAATAGGAATTTTAAGACAATGTAACAAATGTGTTAACAAATAGAAAGTGAATTAGATCGTACTGCTAGATTGGGCTGATAAAGATGATGTGACTACTTTAGTCTCCTGTCTAGAAAGAGAACATGGACAAACCTTACTGTTCTCGGGCAAGTTCTTCTGTTTCCGCTGATATGACACAATATCTGAGATGACAACAGTGGGACCGATAACATCTCAATTGATTTATACCTTAACCATAGTCTGTCCTACAGCTTGAGCAGTGCTGGACAGCTCTTTAGAAAGTCATACTATAGATGCTGCTTCCATCCAGCTTGATGCAAGTTTAAATGTTCGGATGGATGGAAACACAGGGTTCTATTTATAGTGTGTGTCCTTTCAAGAATAGTTCAGTGTGTAATGCGAGCGTAACAAGTTTGAGGTCGAGCCAGAGAACGTATAACACATTCCAGAGAATCTCTGTCGCATTTAAACAAGGTTTCTTCCCTTCATCTTTTGCTTTCACCCTCCTCCCCCCTAGGGAACCAAGAAGCACCCCCAGACTGCCCTGGAGCAGCAGGTTGAGTCCATGGGTGCTCACCTGAGTGCTTACACCTCTCGGGAGCACACCGCATACTACATGAAGACTCTGGCCAAAGACCTGCCCAAAGGTGAGAGGACCTGGTTAAACAGCAACAGGCGCCATCCACTGCACCTTACTTGATAATTCACCTTCCTGTTTGTAAGATCAAGTCATTAGAATCAACCAATGAACTTATAAACGTACGTTCCTGATAAATTGAGGATCTCAGTTACTTTGCTTGATACTTTTTTTTTTTTTTACTCCGCTTTCTTAGCCGTGGAGCTGCTGTCAGAGGTGGTACAGAGCTGCTCGCTGAATGAGGCAGAGATCGAGCAGCAGAGGGGGGTAGTGCTGCGTGAGTTAGAGGAAGTTGAGGGTAACCTGCAGGAAGTTTGCCTTGACCTGCTGCATGCCACCGCCTTCCAGGGCACTCCTCTGGGACACAGTGTGCTGGGACCGTCCAACAACGCCAGGCAAGAGGAACAACACGCTCAGTCGTATTTTGTAGAAATGGTCACACACTCGGGTTTGCTTTCATCAAAGGGTCACGACTGTAAACGGGGCAGCGTTGTGATTAAAGGTGGAAGAGCAGGAGCGTCTTCACTTCAGAGGGTCAGCAGGGCGATCCCTGGCTTATCTACTCCATGTCCTCGCACAGCACTTAACCCCAAAAATGCTCCCGTAGCTTTTCCTTCGGTGTGTGAATGTTGTATGAATGTTACAGTCCCGATGGGCATGTGGCAGCGTGAATGGTAGCTCATGCCATCAGTGTATGAACGAGTGAATGCTGACAAATTGTGTTAAAGCAATTTGAGTGGTCGGAGGACGAGAAGAGATACAAGTGCAGTCCACTACTATATCTACCTGTTCAGTTTGTTCAGAGTCACCTGTCCATGAATACATGACTGGGCTTTAGGCATTTTAATGTATCAATTCTTGTTTATATTACTTAAGATAAACCTGAACTTCCTTTAGTCTTTCACATACGAATTGTGATGCATCTTATAATTGAGACATTTCAGTGTTTCCCCTGGCTTTTACAACAGGGTGGAGGGTGTAGTAGTCAGGCACCCCGTGTTATAATGGTACGGGAAACACTGTATATAGAAGGGTTGCGGCCCGCTACCCTGTCACGGTCAGGTTCATTTTGTTCACACTGATTATTGCTTAAAAATATATCACCATGTGCACCATTGTATAAGTTACCAGCCGTACTATTTTGCGATTGTTCCAGGAACCTGAGCCGCCAGGACTTGGTGGATTACATCAGCAGCCACTACAAAGCCCCTCGCATGGTGCTGTCTGCTGCTGGAGGTAGGCGCGCACACACAAACACACACACACACACACACTCTGCGAGGAGGCACTCTGCTAGCTGTGAATTCCTACTGTCTCTGGAGTGACGTGGCGTCTATCTGACGTGTTTCCTGGACAGGTGTGAACCACGAGGAGCTGGTCGGTTTGGCGCGATCCCACTTCAGCGGAGTCTCCTTTGAGTATGATGGAGATGCCGTTCCCGTGTTGTCGCCCTGCCGATTCACCGGCAGTGAGGTAAGATAGTGAAGTATGTTTTGCGGGAATAAATCTAATGCTTCCGTGCTGGCAACAGACGTCACATCTATCCCATTAACGTCAATGTGATATCTCGGGAACATCTTGCGGGAATTTTCATGGTCACGTATAATTGTTTTGCTGATCTGTTCCCAGATCCGTATGCGCGATGACGCTTTACCTCTGGCCCACATCGCCGTGGCTGTGGAGGGGGCCAGTGCTGCCAGCCCAGACATCGTGCCACTCATGGTGGCCAACTCCATCATCGGCAGCTATGACCTCACCTATGGTGGCGGAAAGGTTGGTTAAATATGTGATGGGGTCTGGATGAAATACTGATGTAGAAGTGCATTTAATTTAATGCAACTTATGCAGTCGTCTCCCCTTTAAGCTTTGCCCACTTGAGGTAGTTGATGTTTTGAGTGGCCATTACTAAGGGGTATATTATGATCCGCTCTAAAATCCTGAGTCAAAGGTTTCACCGCTGACTTTGGCTCTGTAGGGAGGAACAAGACCGGAAATTCATGTAGTGCCCATCCCTCAATAGGACGGCTATTTTAAGTATGTAATGGTTTAGTGTACTGGTGTTACAATGTATATGTGGTTTGTAAAATATTCTCATATTAGGATTAAAAGCTTTAATTAGCACATTTGTTGGGTGACAGAAGTTCTACTTTGTGGAGTTGGAGGGGGACAAAGTGGGAAATGTTATAGAGATCTGCTTTTATATTGTTTTCAGATGTTTAACCCTAGTCCTGTACTGCAACACTACTGGGAGCAGGTTATTCCGGATTGATAGTATTACCATGGATAAATTGACCAGCTACCCGATGCAGGTGTGACTATGAACCGGCTTTGCTCAGGAGCCTTCGGATGTTAACGGCCTTGCTTCCGCCCACCCGCAGCATCTGAGCAGCCGTCTGGCCCGCCTGGCGGTGGAGGAGAACCTGTGTCACAGCTTCCAGGCCTTCCACTCCTCCTACTGCGACACCGGTCTGCTGGGCATTTACTTTGTGGCTGATAAGCACCAAATTGAAGATATGATGCACTGGTCCCAGAATGCCTGGTCAGTAATGACACACGGATCAACCAAACTGATGTTGTGTCACGTTTTAGGACGTTTTTCTTATTTCCTCTCCTTTCCGCTCAGGATGAACCTGTGCACCACAGTGACAGAGAGCGATGTGGCCAGAGGCAAGAACGCTCTGAAGGCCAGCCTGGTTGGACAGCTTAATGGTACGTCACATGTCCGTTATACACTTACACAAACACACTCTCCTCCTCTAAACTCCTCTGAATCGCCGAAGTCAACACACAGGCTTTTGTCTTCTAGGAACAACACCGATTTGCGATGACATCGGCAGACACGTCCTAAACTATGGGCGCCGGATTCCTCTGGCAGAGTGGGACGCCCGGATCGATGTGAGTGGACACTCGGGAACGAGATCCTCCCCATTTATGCCAGTTGTACAATTAAAAGGAAATATTGTGTCTTCAAGATGAGAGTTCTTACTTCCCTCCGCGTCGTTTCTTTCAGGCTGTGACCCCCAGGATGGTGCGAGACGTCTGCTCCAAATATCTCTACGATAAATGTCCTGCTGTGGCAGCTGTCGGTGAGTTCAGGTCCATTTCGCAGCTTGGCCCGGGTCCCCGCTGTGACATCCCGGTCTAATGGGTCCTTCCTTGCTCCCTCCCAACAGGTCCCGTGGAGCAGCTGCCCGACTACAACAGAATGCGCAGTGCCATGTACTGGCTGAGGTTTTAAGATGCGTCCCGTGTTTGCTCCTCATCGTCGTCCTCCTCAACCTTCCTCTGTTATCTGCCGTCTCCACAGCAAAATTGAGGATTGTCCCTCCACGTTGGCTCGACAGCACATTCCTCCTCTCTTCAGCCCATTGTCCGCTGATCACTCTTATCTAGCCGGGGATGAAGGGGGGGCAGCAGCAGCACCCCAATGTGTAACAATTACATCTTACACATTGTTACCTCGTAGAGGTGCTCATTTCCTGGTACAATATGGCAGAGAGGAGGGGAGAGAAGGCAGACCTGAATAGCAAATAATAATCTCCTGGATGCACATCACACCCTGAATACAACCAGTCTGGAGCAAGAGTATATTTATCATTTGTAACATTTGTTTCTGTCCTCTATTGTACATAACAGAAGCTCTCATTCCGACAAATAAAAAAAAATGCTGTAAAAGATGGTCTGTTGTTTTATATTACAACTTTAAAACCTCTTTGCACAATTCTAATGTCGTCTGTTTTCAATAGAGTAGAAAAGCCAAGAGGAGAATGTTCACGTCTGTTTTTGACTTTCGCCAGGACTGAAATCCACACATGAAAGAACCTCTAGCATGCTTTGTATTGCTGAGCTTTATTGAGGATGATCCAAATAATTATCCTTTTCATTGTGCTTCATTCTTCATTGGTAAATGGACTTTTATAGCGACCATCTTAGATGAGGCCGTATTTCTGTGTCATGCAGTATCTGTGATAATAATGCCATTGGTTCAACCTACAAACCCAGGATGACATTTGTGTGACCCGTGTTTGTTTATCTCAGGGTAACTGAGACGGCTTGTAATCCTCAAGGCCCCCGAGGGCCCAACTACCGTAATCGGGCTGCTTTTGTGATATTCATATCATTAGTCAGATGAGGATAAGTCCCTTGACGAGGCGACTCCAGAAAGGAGCTTGTCTTGTTGGTCTCCTGGGCCTCATAGCCCCTTCGTCCTCGATCACCTCCCAACACCCCTCTTCTGTCGTCTTAAAATACATTTCTCTACTCCTAGTGTTCCTTTAAACAAGTAACAGCGTTTAGATATTTTCCCGTGTGATGCCGAACTTTTCAAAGTCCTGCAGAAGAACACCCGAGCACGTGAACTATAAGACAAAATCTGATGATGTGGACATTTTTTTCCTCCAAAATAGGAACCAAAGAAGCTAATTTGCCGTCCCTCTTTACTTCAGTTCATATGAAACACATTAATTTTAAGAAATGCAATTGCCTCCCTAAACTCCACATTTAGCTGCTCTTAATCCCAACTAAATGCTCCCTGTAGAGTTGAATCACCGTCACAGTAATGTGGAAGAATTTAGTGCTGCTCATTCAAGTAGAACTCCCGTACGAGGAGCTTTTGTCATAAGCTGCTTGATTTGGATCCTGGTGATTCGTCTCCTGCTTGATGAAAACAATAAGTATGATACAAGCACTCTGTCCATTGAGCACTGTTTCAAAAGATCCTGACGATCTACGTGGCTTTAGATGACTTTTGTTAAGATATTCGGCAGAAGAGCAGCACATGTTTGGATGAACCTTGAACAACGGATACAGCAACACTCCAGTAACTGCAGTCTGTGCCGCGTCTCCTTGTTGATGGCAGCTATGGCGGCTGCCATTCACTTTCCAAGCCTACACCTGACAGCGAAACTTTTGACATGAATCGAAATGTTTGAAAAAATAAACCAGTGAGCTTGTTCGATTAAAGCAGAGTTTTGAAACCGCACTATTAAAAATCACACAAACTCACAAAGAGGGCGACAATCTGCAATAGCATGAACATTACCCATTACTTATCGTTGTCTTTAAACCACACATTCCTCCTCTTTGCGATGGTGAGGCTCTGCTCACACAGTCAGCATGCAGGATTGACCCTGGGGGATCTGAAAACACACACCATGATAAGAAATAGATTAATCTGGCAAGATGTTGGTCCTCAACTTTTGACAAAGGGGGAGATGTGTGGGGGTTCAGCTTATAGGCAAACTATAGTTATTAACATTGTGTTATTTTTAGAAAGCGAAAGACGTCAATGAGTCTGGAGGAAATGAGATGAAATGGAGGGAGGGTGAGGGCGTGTAATGATACAAAAGATGAACACCGAGGGGCAGTGCCACGGCCAAGACCGGCGTGGATGAAGACAAAGTCGCGGACGAGCAGGCAGAATTCCATTTTAACATCTGGCTGCGCGTCACACAGGTCGACCCTCCGCAGCTCTAGAAGAAGAAGAGCCTGAGAGAAAGAAGACTTTATAAGAGGTTTATAAGAGATCGATACTAAAGCCCTGCTTTGGACCACAGGAAGGATAAGTGCCTTTTTCACCAGTTTTTCACCAACTTTTCACAAGAGCTACTGAGTAAGTATTGATTGAGATTATTGAGGTAGGATAACACATTGGAGAATCTTTAACATCCTGCAAAAACTGTACAAGCATCTCACTTTTAAACATACTTTTGTCTTTCAAAGAACAATGAAAATCTTCTATTTCCTGCAGGCTGAAAATGCATCTGTGTTTTAGTATTGACAGGGACTTAAAATGTTTATCTGCAATAGATGATTTTACAAAATCTCGTGGATTGCCTATACGTTGCATCGATATTCTCCTCTAATAGCATCATGTTCTTCACAATTACCTTCCCTTTTCAACATAAAAAGGGATTTTCATACGTAATCAGTAAAAGAAATGACGCCGTCCCCCTGAGAGAAGCCGTGCAGCGTCAAGAGTTGCAGAGCGTCTGGCTCACCTCCTCCTCTTCTCTCCTTGCAGACAAGGACTCCTGACCATGGGGAGCGTGCGTGTGTGCTTCTGCCTGGCTCTGCTGCTGCCGTGGATCGCCCAGGGCCACAGGAGCGGCCCGGCCGCCCTCGCCGGACTTGACGAAGACGCACAGAGGCAGGTGCTGGACGTCGACATCCTGAGCCGCATACGCGCCCTGGACTCGTTGCTCCGGTCGGAGCGTCACGCCGCGCCCCGGCGAGAGCGAGCCCCGCGGCCGGCCCCCCAGGTGCCGAAGAGGGCCCAGCAGGGGTCCCGCTTCGCCCTGTCCCTCGACGTTCCCACCAGCATCCTCAGTGTCCTCATAGACCTGGCCAAGAACCAGGACATGAGAACCAAGGCTGCGGCCAACGCTCAGCTGATGGCACGCATAGGCAGGAAGAAATAAGAGAGCGGGGCCCTCGGGGGCCTCGGGGGACCTCAATGGACAAAGTCTCGCTTCATAGAGGAGTTAACTTCTTACATTGTGTCACTCGGCACCTGGTTAGACTGTTAGTTCAGGTGAAATCAGCCATTATGGTCAGTATCTGTCCATCAGAGCTTACATTTGTTTCACTTTTATACTTGGCCTTAAATTATTATATTTTACACCCAAGACCACGCTCCATTCTTCTAAACAAAAGTGAATAAGAAAGAGCTGGTATTTCGTCTCAAAGATTATCCACCCGCGGGTCCGAAACTGTGATCGGGTTCTGAAACCTGTTTCTTGTGTTTGCATGTGTGATCTTGAATTCAAAAGAAAAAAAACGGTTATCCAATTAAATCCAATATGATGATCATATTTCTTTCCAAGTCTAATTCATTTCACCCACTGCATTGATATCAGGCCTGCTTGGTGTAATTACAAGCATCAGCAACCCATAAAGCGCAGATGAATGGGTCAGAGCCAAATGAGCATGCGTCACCCACCGCGGGGTCTGATGTGTGATAACAGGACAAAGACGTGGGCAGGATATTGACCTCTGAAGGAAGAACAGAGCCTTGCTAAAGACCTTTGTTCACTGATACTTGATAAATTTGGCAAACAAGTCGCAGCCATTTTATGTCCGCTGCGTTATCTGCTCTACATTGCACTAATATCTGTGGCATGATTCATCCGTGCTCCTGCAGTGAGCATGAAATATGAAGCAACACAGACACTGCTCATCTCGTTTACATCTCAGTTTGTTCTGTTTTTTGAGCTGGCCTTGAACTTTTTTTGTAGTTAAAGCCAGTCCCCAAAAATGCAAATATTACAACAAATGTTTTAAATGTGTTGCAGCGACATTGTAACGCAACGTGGTCGCTGCTGGGCATCAACGAAATGTTTCCATCAGGATGCTGTAATAATGGTCTGTTGGAGGAAACCTATGAGTTATCACAGAAAATTGTCTCTTTAAGAAATTATACTGTAATAAACTAGTAAAAATAAAGATTTTGCTTTCACTACTGTGTAGAAATGTGCTGTTAATTAACAAAACAAAAAACTACACTCATGGGGGCTACATTGTTTTATGAAGTGATTGCACTTTTTAGTTTCAGAATGAACAGCTACTGCTATTACAGGCATATATGTACAATATCATTCATAGATTCACACATGCATTTTATTTGACATATTTCCTATTTCCTAGTGTGTGTACTTTTACATGTGGAGCTTCAAGGAGAATAAGTTTGTTACTAACGGTTTGTGTCTCCGCCTTTACTCAAACGGAGTCACGTTACTACATTGTGCAGATGTCCCCCGCTGTCTCACGGACATCAGGGGACAACGCGTCTCCCGGCCGGCTGAGGCGGTTCCTCGTTTGTCCGCACGATGTCCTCGTTGTCCCTCGGAAGCCTCCTCCCCGCGTCCTCCGCTATATCGTAATGTTGCACGTGCGACTGTGAGACAGGGTCAAGTCCTGTTTAATATCGCGGTTTATTCATATTCATTCGTTAGGGAGCAGACTGTTGTTAAAACGCGCGAGAGTCCGAGAGGCAAAATGGCGCAAACAGCAGCGGTTAATCAGCAGTCCAGGTGTTATTAATCAGCGCAGCGGCCGCACGTGACATCGGGCAACACTTGAGCTCAGAGTAAGTCTGAATATTTTATGTTCCACTGCTTTCTTTTATTGGCCTTTTCCACACTTTGTTTCTATGGAGTATGAAAGGTATTTGATTGAAACCAGTGCGTTTATATTACTACGGTTTTAGCCGTACAACACGGTGGCATTGCTGGTGGACCATTCTGTCATCCTTGTGGTTGTAAAATACTATTTTTTCTCTGTTTGTTTTTCCCTTAGCGTGTCCGTATTGTAAGTAACTGAGGTTTGGTTTCTCTCAATGCTGCATGTGTTATATTAGAGGAGCAGAAGCTGATTTAAGCCAGCACATTGGGTTGGATGCATGCTACTCACAGAGCCCCAATCCTTGTAATAAAAAATCACACATTTAATTACGACTATTAAAAGTCGTAACTTGCCAACGATTGTATAGTCTGTCCAGTAGGCAAACTAATATGTGAATTCTTCATTATGTGCAAAGAGCCTTTGACTCCATGTGCCCATAATGCAGCAGCTGTGCAGGAGGCTGCTGAGAACTGAATCTAATTATATTTGACCCAAAAGTACATTTCACTCCCTTATCTTGTTTTGAATATGTATTTTTCAATGTTCAAGACTAAAACTTTCAGGTTCCATTTTTTTTCTTCTTTTTCAAATGATCACAATTGGCCAGGATATGTAATTTGGTGTTTTGAGAAGGAATCAGCTGTCACTGCTTTCTCCTTCCGAAACAGCAGATGTTTTATTTTACTTGGGCACTTTTTCTGTCTCCTAGTTTTCATATCAGTGGGTTATAATTGTTGTGGCTGGTGCACAGAGGGAATCTCAGACTACCTGTAGCTGCTGGTGTGTATCACCTTTATGATGTGGACACTTATTGTCTCCATAAGCCGGCGCACCAGTGGGTGACATAATCTAATGAACGATGGCCTAATTGTGATACATCAATGTCTCATATTCTGCACAACCTCTGAACGAGTAGGAAGTGCAACGTGCCATCACATTTGATATGTTGGAAAGATTGGGTTAGAAATTTGACAACTATCTTTTAATGTGACAACCCTGTTCTCCTCAAGATCCGTGAATCAAACATTTTATAATCAACACTTTTTATTTTATTATGACACTTTTTTTGTTTTGTCTTTTAAAAAGTGTTGATTCAGCAAATGGACGATATTTCCCCACTTAACCCAACCGCAGTGAGACATTTCTGCTACCACTCAAATACACATGGAGCTCAATGTGATTTTAGATTTTTCTGCAATCGTTAAACAGATTTGAATGACAACAATCTCCAGATTAATCTTGCGTAAATTCCATGGACCACACTGTCAGCATATTTTAGGGGAAATTTCCTCTGTTCCTCTTTGGATGCTCTGTTAAATGTGACTCTGGCTTGTACAAACAAACACAGGGGAGCGCAACCGCGTTAATGGAAAATTACTCAATACAGCTTGCAACAAGCTTAACAGTCACCAGCACAAAGTTCAGTGACCGAGTTGTGCAAAAAAACCCCGCAGGGAGACGAGAGCGTATCAGAGCGGTTTTGAGTTGGGAGTTGGGAGCAGCACTTCAAGATCACTGTAAGGATTATTTATTGAAACAAGGTCAGGACAACAGCTTCTCAGCTTCCCATAACGAGGTCATATACGTTTTAAGCTATTTCTGTTCCTTTTTTCACTTTTGGGAATTACGGTGAACTGTGTAGTTTGCTAAAGAAAGGAGGTGATCTAGAGATTAGCTACTTACGGGGGATGTAGACAGGGAGGCTTGGACACTAAATGGGCCACAGTTTACTTTAGATTTGTTTTGACTGTACAATGCTCACTATTGTCTCCTTATGGGGATGTTGCCCTTTCAGAGGGATGATGTGTTTCCTTACTGATAGAAGTCCTAATTGCTAAACTGCTGCCGGCACCTCATCGCAGGTCAAGGAGCTCTCCGATGGATTACGCCATGAAGTCCCTCAGCCTTCTCACTCCGTCGTCCCTCTCCAAGTAAGCGCAGCGTTCCGCGGGTTAAACGGGGTGGTCAACAATCACCAGTGGATAGTGGAGGAGGCAGTTCAGCACCACACCTCTTCTCTTCTCCCAGGTGCGTGTCAGCCAGCGTCTCGGCCAGCGCCTCCATGACCCAGCAGCTGCTGTCTGGTCGAGCTCTTCGACTGAAGCCTTTCAGGGTCACGAATGCGGACCGCAGCGTGAAGAAGGGCATCATGGCGGACGCGCTGAAGGACCTGATGAACAAGGCGAGGAGGGTCTGTGTGTTGAAAGGGCTGAGCGGGAATTGCGAGCACTCACCGCTGGGTGATCTGTGAGGCGGTGAAAGGTCACAACAATGAGACGCACAGTTGAAACAATGCTGTGTGTTTGTATAAAGGGCGTTCGCCTGAGCTGCTCCTCCCTGTCGCCGCTCTCGCAGGTCAGCGACTCGTTCAGTGTGCCGTGTGTCGACGCGCTGGTGCTGGACGAAGACGGGACCGGTGTGGACACGGATGACTTCTTCCAGACGCTGCCGGACAACACTGTCCTCATGGTCCTGGAGAATGGCCACAGGTGGACCCCGCATCCGGTATGACGGTGTTTGACCCTTTCCCCCCCCCCATCAACCAGTAGGTGGCGCTGTTGATCAGCTCATCAGTGTGAGGTTCAACACATTGAGTAGTTTGTTATGCCAGCGATCCTTTGACTGAACGGACAGGCGAACATCCGTTTCTTCAACGAGGCAGTCGTGAATATTCAGACACGGGAGTCTGTAGACGTAAGAATAATACATTGAAATCCAATCAGCAAACTTGTGTCCTCAAACTGAATGGAGGAAGAATGTCTGTTGTTATGCGGAGGCTTAGCTCAGGGCGAACGCCAGAGATGTTTTTTTCCTTCATAACCTTTGGGGAAGAATCAAAGGCCGACGTTAAATTTAAATGTTCTTCTCCAAAAATCAATTTATTTCATGCAGGAATCCCCCCTCTACACGTTTCACATTGACTTGGCTTCATTATTGTTTTACTTTCCAATCATTACTAGCAGGCGCCGCTTCAGTCTAACATCTGCTGGCGGAGCTTGATATAATTTGCTCTAGTCTGCTGGTCGCAATCACGCCGACAAGATGTGTCTGTGCCCCGTTGACCCACCTTGTGTTTCCTGTTCCTCCACAGGATCGCCTCTCCAGAGATCACCTCAGCGAGTGCAGACCAAAGCACCGGATAGACGTGGCCAAGCTGACTTTGGACCTCTACAAAACCAACCCCAAGGACTTCATCGGCTGCCTGAACATGAAAGCAACCTTGTATGGTGCTTATTCTGTGTCCTATGACCTGCGGTGCTATGCCGCCAAAAATATGCTCAAGTGAGTGTCTGTCAAACATCTTAATGCCTTTTTGTTACGGGGATCTGACGTTTATCTTCATCGCAAATGATTCAGTTCTATAGCAATGATTTAATCCAGTCATAAACGTATCTGCTTTAAGGAGTTTCTAATTCATACAATACCAAATGGACCATCACCTTTGCATTGAGATTACCCGCCAACAAACACACACTTTTCTCTGTTGGCTGGTTCCGAACACCAACACCAGTTGTAGTATTCTGTGCACAACTTCTAACATGTACATTTCAATTAGTATACTGTGCTATTGTGTGGGCGGCTGAGTTGAAATCACTGATTGCAGAAGAACAAAGGCTACATTTTACAGAGCTTAAATTCATGTTGCGTCATCGCTGCAGAGATCAGCTGGTTTTTAGCGTTGGCACGGAGCTTCAGTCAGACGATTACATTCTGCAGATTGTTTGTTAAGGCTCTTTTGCTCTCAGCGATTAGAAGACTGCGGTTTCCGAGACTTTTAACATGTCATTTACTCATCAGCTTGTTCAATTTTTTTTTTTTTTTTTTAATGAGAATTAGGCAAGATGTATATCTGAACTTACTCCAATGCTGTGTTTTTTTTTATTTGCTCCGTATGTCCACGATCCCTCTTGTTTCTCTCTGTGCTGTGTTTCCAGGGAGGCTCTGCGCTGGACCATCTTCTCCATGCAGGCCACAGGCCACATCCTGCTGGGATCGTCCTGCTACATCGAGCAGCTGCTGGAGGACGAGGAGCAAGTGGAGAAGAGCCTGGCGCTGCCACAGGAAGGCCGGATCAGGCAGCTGCAGAGCATGCTGCTGGGAAAAATAACCTACTGAATGTGGATTAGAGCTGACAAGGGAGGAACTTCTTGTCCACTCTTAGTTTTAGGGCACATTATAGAGGGTCACCGGTGACACTGCTGATCTCTACTCTATGTTTGGGTTTCCTGTGCACTTAGCGGACATTTCAGACGTTTCCACAGCCCGCCTGTCGCTTTCTTGTTCTGTTACATTGTTACATTCAACACAAGTTATTCTCATTAATGTTTTTTTTCCTGTGCAGATGAATCAATAAAACTAACACTTATTTTTATTTTCCCTGTTCCTCAAAGTCTGTTTGTCTACGTACAGCAGTTCTACAATTGAGCTGACAGTATATGTCCAGTGTGAGCCCATTAAGCCGGCTTTGTCTGTGTGGTTCCTGGTCAAAGTCTGTGTAATTGGCAACAGGTCCAGCTGTCTCTCCCACGCTTCCCTAATTGTCCCCCGGCCTGCACTGTCTTGTCAGCTGCAGCCTGCTCCTGCCTCGCAAAATCAGAGGAAGGGAAGAAGTGAGCGCAGCTGCAGGGGCCGAGAAGCTGTAAGCAAACAATTATGCTGAGCGAGGAGAGCGATGATGGTTTCAGCTGGTGGCAGAAGTGCCACTTTTACCATTTTTGTCACAAAAGTCGCAGCAAAAAGATGAGGAAACGCCAAACGGACCTGATACAACACAAAAAAAAGCTGATGTCTGCGGTACATATCAGTGGGTCAAGAGTTGGAGACTAACAGTGGCTCAATCCAAGTGTCCCCTGCCAGTTTTTTGTTTCAGATTATAGAAAATAAAATTCAGTTGGCGTCCACACAAAAGCCAATGCCTACCTCATATAATATTAGTTATTGTTTTGAGGGATGTGAATGTTCTTTAAACGTAATGAGACCATAAATCATGAGACAGTCAAAACACTTTTTCCAGCAGTATTTCATCGTGTTCTTTCGTCAAGTGAAATTGCATCTCATCAATGCAGGAGCAGGAGTTGCGTGCGATGCCAACATGGAAGTGATGGTGGAAGCTGATCAAGTGCCATTGAACTGAATCGAGTCATGGGGGTGCATGACTGCTGACGGTCTCTCGTGCTTTAATCTACTTCTGTGTTTCACAACATTCCGGGTGAACCTGTTGAAGTGTAGTGAATGGTAGTTATACAATTGGCTCCGCGTGGATTTGGCTCTACAGCATCTGCTCGGTTTAACAGCTTTGGCAAATGGTTTAAAAGTTTCCTTTCCTTCAGTGTTCAGATGCACAAACTCGAAACAACCGTGCTGTTTTTATTGACCTTGAAGTGTGTGGTCATTACAAGGACAATTTCCAAAACCAATGGCCTATATTACCCACAATGCAGCTTATCCACCAACAGCCATGGGGGAGGCGAGTTGTTGGCTTCAGAGGTCTGGTAAACTCACGTCTATGAATCTCAACAGCTTTAGGATATTTCTAATTGCTCATCACCATGTCCTCTAATAAAGTCCTGGCTGGTTACAACCTCAAGGTGATCTTGACACACTACAAATCCACCCCAGCTGCTCCTAAACGTGCTTCGATGAGTTTTTGCTGGTGAGACTGGATTTATTGCTCAATTCTGTCCGGTTCAAGACTGGTGGAGTTCTGCCCCAACAACCCCTGCCTCATGTGACGTCCTTCGAGGCAATGCCTCCCCATTAAGCCACAAAAATACAATTTGTTTTTTCATATTTGCATTTATTAATGTGACCATTAGATGTAAACATCGGAGCGGGGGCTCTACATTTCTAACGGCATCAAAGCAAAGGCAAATTTGCTGTTTTAAAACCGTGGATTTGAATGTCCTCGATGGTCCGCGCCTCCTCCTCCTCCTCCTTCCTCCACCTGGCAGCAGCATCCTCGCTGGCGTCCGTCCTTCCGTCCCACCGAGCTGTCGTGTTGTCAGTGGCCGCTGGTGGCGCTGTTGCTGCTGCGCAGAGAGGCAGCGGGCTTCGGGCTTCTGGCTCCACAGGAGATGAGGGACGCTTCCCACCGACACGCGTGATGACTGCCTGAGCGCACGGATCCAACTCGAAGAAGTAAGAGTGCAGGTTTTTTTTCCTCAGTAATTCAAATGTTGCTTTTGACGATGTCATCTATATTTCGTTGTTGCGGCCATTTATCCGATGGAGACAGTTTAAAATGTAAAAAAATGTATGCAGTTGGCCGTAAAGCAAACCCGATGAAACCAGTTCCCAAATTAACTTTAATCAATTGAATACTTGTCTTTGATAGAAAGGTTCGCTGCAAATTTTCACGTTTTAAAACCTCATTCTAAACTTTTATTCTTCTAAAACCCCGCTTTTACGCAGCGTATTTTATTCCATAACCGTTCGTGTGGATAATTAACAAAAATCTTTCCACAATGGAACCACTGCCATATTATGTAAAACTCTGTGTTTATCTGACGGCCTGGCTGTTGCATGCATGTGCACCGCACAGCCCACCGCTCTGTGTGCTATTTGGCACAAAGCGCTCCACGAAATATCGATTTAGCGGAGGAATCCGTGTTTTATTCGAGCCCGCGGGCTGGATGTGGGAGTAGGTGCTCCTCCATGTCCCGCTTGCACTGCGCACAAAACGTGCTTCCGTTTGGATGCTGGGTGTTTCGTGTTGGGTGCCAACGGCGCTGGGGCCAAACGTCCTTTTAAAATGTCTTTAACCTGCCTTGTAACTTTCGTAATCTACGAAAATCCGTTATTTGTTAGCTATCGGTACAATATAAATGACACAAAATATGGTAACTGAAGTGTGGGAATAAATTCAAAGTGGGATTGATGAGCAGGTTGAAGGCAGCCACTTGCCATTATTCCGTTTCTTTAAAGTTACTACATTTACGCCCTGAGGACCTGAATCTGAAATAGTTTCATGTATGTCTTCATTCATTTCATCCAAAATGTGGTCGATCGACAAACCATCTGCTTCAACGTGTGAATGGTTTCTTTTGACTGTTTTTCTGTGATTTCATTTTTAATAACTTTTTTGCTCGAGCACTAATGCTGTTCGGTAAAGCCCTCAGGGTTAGAAAGGCCAGGATTCGCTTTGACCGATGGGACAATATGCCGCCCAGCGTTTCCAAACTGCATTCTGCCCTCAAATAATCCAATACCTTGGATTTACACTCTCATACAATCCACACGTTGCCCCGTGCGTTCACTCTAAGCTGTTCATCTCAAGCAACGGTGCCCTTTGTCAAAGAATACAAGGCGGCTGTGGACATGCAAATAAAGACAGTTACAAAGTGAAACTACATTTGGTGGGACGCGGCAGGCGAGATGGTTGCAGCAGTGTGGAGGGGGAAGAAGGCAAGATGAAAGCTGTCTCCATAGCGAACACGAAGGAGGGACACCAGATCCTGCTGGGCACACGGCGACAGGGAGCTTGTAGTGCGTCACCGTCCTCTCTCTGGCTCGCACGCAAATCATCACGTTTTCTTCTTCTCTGTTTGCGGTTGTGTAACCTCGTCGTTTCCCCACCAAGTGGTCAGCTGGAACGCTGTTTATTTTCCTCTTGTCTCCATCTCTTCTGTCCCCTGGACTTTTCTTCTCTCTGCTTTTTTTTCCTCGAGCTCATGGTTTTCAATGGTTGTCCGAGGTCCGTGTTTTCCCGCACAGCGATAAATAATGCAGGTAAAAGGACGACACAGATGTCCTCGGTGAGAGTCTGGAGGCTTTGCTCAAGCCTGAATTACCCGTGAATAAAGAACTCGTAGTGTGTTTTGACTGGAATGGCACCATCTCCCACGTCTCCCTGTGGGGTCTCTCAAATAGATGTATACATTAAAGATGGGTCTCCCGCGGAGGAAGAAGAAGAAGAAGAAGAAGCTGAGGTTCTGCTTGATTTTACTCTCCCTCACATATTCCCCAAAAGCACACTCTGTGTTTCTCCATTATTTATACCCTCCTGCTGGCTCCTTCTAGTTCTCCTCCTGTCTTAAACAACAGCCACAATTAAGGGCCGTTAAACATCTGGGCAGAGGTGGAGGCAGAGTCCTGACCCCTGCTCGCGCCCTCTCTAACAAATCCGTGATGATTGTTCGTGTCCTGACGTAGTACGTGTGCGTTTGTGTCGATCATGAGACGACGTTGTGTTGTCTAATTGCTGACTTATTTTTTTCATGAAACTTAAGTTTTTAATATTTTGAAGAATCAAGTCAAACAGAAACTTGAATTCCCCTCACTTTTTGTTGAGAAATTCTTAACCGATACAGCCACTGTGCAATTACTCCCAGAGGAGGATACGGCGTCTTTTGGACATAGTTGTGAGACAGCGCCTGGGGGTCTCCGCGTGGTTTCTCCCATTCAAAGAAAACAATCCCCAACATTTACTACGCTGCAAAACACTCCAGCGCTGCTCCAGGTGAGACTTTTGCCCTCTATGTATTCATCTACTGCTACAAGACCACTCAGACCCAGCAGGTGTACTGTGGTTCAACCGTGTGTGTGTGTGTGTGTGCGCGCACAAATACAGTCCTTTTTAAATGTGTTTCTCTCCCTGTCCCACTGTGTTGAGGATGAGCGGAGGGCTGCCGGTGTTTCGCTCTGACTTGACCTTTTGTATCCAGCATCACGTGGCGACTGGAGAGAGCGCTCAAATAAAAGCTTGGCTCGTCTCAATAGGGAGACTTTTTACCACGTGTGTGCGTGCGCACACACACATGCTAGTGGGTGTTTATTGCATCGTGGGATTGTACAGTATATGGTCCTCCTGTTGACTCCGGCCTCTCTGTTTTCTTGTTACTCACCCCCTCACACTGCAGACTCCGACTCCAATGCCCTGCTTTCTATTCTTGTCTAAGTAATATCTTGTTATCAACATTCTGCTTTCTTTAGAAAACCTAAACAGACATTAGACATTAGAAAATGTCTAATGTTCCATTAGACATTTTGTAACGGCAAGTCTTCCATTGCGGCGTGCGTCCTGTAATGAGCGCACAGTGTCACCTGATTATTCCCTTTTTCTTTTTCTATCCTGCCACCACGGCGTCGCACAGCGCGCGGAATCGCACATGACAGAGTTGTCGTACTTTCCTCGCAGCCTGCCTTGTTTGAGTTGACGTGGTGATTCGATTCTCAGGCACTTTGCTGCATAACTTTGCATTTTAATGAGGCGCAACTGATTTACTTCCAACCGCTGTGTATTTGTGATGATATCGCGCTGGTGTAATGAGAAGAGAAATATGTGGGTGTGCTTTACTGATTAATATATAGAAGAGTTAATGGCCCGACTCGAGCCAATATTAGAATGCTTATAGCTTAAACTCAGTCTTCAATTATTATTCTTTGATCAAATCTAATGTTTATATTTTCTTACATGTGGTTATTATCAGATTACAGTGCGAATTAGTCACTCGGAAGGTGTCAGAGGTGTCATGGAGCCCACACGGGCCCCCAACCGCACCCACTGAATACTAATTATCACACTTTAAGAAACACAAAAACGTATCCAGGATGTAAAAGTGTAAAAAATCTAAAGCAGTGCTTGTGATCGAGGCTGGTGAACAACACGCTTCCTGTGCAGGTCTTTATTATCGAGGCCACTAAACTGAACGTTTACGCTTTCATTAACAAGTTGATGTGCAGTGAATCTGCGATGGGGTGTTAATGAGAATGAACACAAAGAGGCCTCGGGATCGTTTTTTGTGTGCGGTTGAATCCCATTGTGCTCTCAAACAAAGCCGTTTCTAATACAGCACGGAGTAAGACAACCTGTTACATTAGCTTGTCTGCCATGAATCGCGAGGTTATCTTCACCGCCGTTTAATCTCTGTGCTGCCGCTCCTGGGGATTGCTGATGCGACTGGCTGTTCAATTATACATGCTATACTGTCTCTTGTCACATAGTGTCTGGCTTCCTACACAGAAGAGGAACACGATGTAGCCTCACTTGAATTTGTGTAGGAAATTGTTGCCTTGGATGTGGTGCACCAGTTTGTGATTAACTCCCCCCACCTGGTTTAGGGTTTTACTCCTGCAATGAAATGTATTATCAGATCAGTCTTTTTGATTTCTTTTATCATAAAGCGGCGTAGATTTACATTTTGGTTTCACATTTCCTAATATTACTTTCTTCAATCCAGAGCAATCAGCTTTAAATTGTTACATTCACATCTGGCTGTTTCGGTGGAGAAGAAGATTTAGAAATTAGATGCAAAATTGGTGATCATTTCGCTTTCGGATTCGCTGAAAAGTGTTTAATGTTCGACCTGATTATATTCGACCATGATAGCATCCAAACCAAATCCCAAAGCAACACAGCGAGCATCCATAAGCAGGTTACATACAAAACAACATATTAAACCTCGTAAGTCTTTACATATAAATAGAACTGAAATGAGATCAAACCACAATCAAAACCACAGGGATTATCAGATGCAACGTTAATGCTTCTCAGACTACATTGTTTGCGTATTTCATTTTTCTGCCTTTTTCACTGAAAATATCAGATAATTCCAGCCAGATAACTAAGATTAACATTAGTTTATAATTGAAAAAATGTGTAGTACATCACCAAAATCACGCGTTCTTGGTTCTCAACATTCACAGACATTTACTTTATATAGAAATGTGCCGTTTCTTTCACATTTGACATCTTTTCGTGCTCAAAGGGTAAGCGGAGACAAGGCAACCGCAGATTAAAAGCAAGTTCCTTGATGTGATCTTTTCCTCGGTTCTCGGCGGGTGTGGATTTAAGTGAGTTTATTGCCCTCTGCAAAGCCAGATGATGGTCTCACACACACACACACACACACACACACACACACACACACACACACACACACACACACACACACACAGAGTCACCTGGGCAACTCCCTGGTGAGTGTCTTCCACTCGCAGGCGACTTAATTAGGAAGCCATCTTAAGACCAGCAGCTGCCTGCCCCTGGTTTACTTTGGTTTGCAGCAGGAGGGGGGTGTTGGGGGGGGGGGCGCTTTCTAGAGAGGCTTTTATCTGGATTACCAAATGAAAAAGCTCTTTACAAGACCTGACCAGAACCAACCCAAAGAGGAGTCAGATTGAGCATTTTGAATGAGGAAAACAGTTCTTAATAGCCAGCCGATGGATTGAAAAGGATGTGAAACAGCACCGTGCTCTCCAGGGTGGGACATGAGGCACGCTGGGTTGAAGCTGGGTTCATATTGATTGATTTTTCACACTTTGGCCTTAAATGAATTCCATGTGCAACTCAACCTTTTAGTTCACAATATTGAAGTGAAGCGAAACCCTTTAAACCAACGACCCCTGTAGGAAAACCCGTGTGTCATATAGAGCCCCAGTGGCCACACAACGTCCATGTTGCTTTTCCCCCTTTCCTAAGCTAAGCATCCAACCCAGGCATTATGCTTTTCACTGGTGCAGTCTTTTGGGACAGAAGAAGCCTGTTGGGTACTGCAGGCAACCCGGAAAGCAGCACCGTGGGACATCTTGTTTACCGGTGCTGCTGGCTCGCCCCTCTTTTCTACAGCTCTCTTGCGAGCGTTTCCGATGTCCTACATCCAGGTGATGCGTGCCGTCTTTTAAACAAGGATCGACTACTTTCCCCCGTCGTGCCCCCCCGCGCCTCCGCCACCCTCCTCCTCTTAAATCAAACAGTCTGCTCACGAACAAACCGGCTGGATGGTGGGTCAAGCAGAGTGGCTGCAGGGCTGCACACTTTTCCTCACCCTACCTTCCCCAGTCCTCCACCTCTCACTTCTCCTCGTGCCATGAAACAGTATCTGCTTCCTCTCCAGCTTAAACTGTGGCAAAGTGTAACCTGCTGATCGGGATGGTGCTGTTGATCTAAGGGGACTTCCATTTCCTCCCCAGGTCCGCTGTGTACCACGTCCCAGGGAGGAAGAGCAACACATATAAGTCAACAGACAAGCAGACCGAGCGCCAGTGACTTTGTTTTTGTCTCCCTTATCTCCCTCCGTGGGAATGTAACATACTCTCTGTTTTAACTCTACTACTCCACCATCTCTCTGCCGCTAGCATATCGTCACCGAGCAGCTTGGTGTCACACACTTCAATACGATTACACCTGCGCCCTCATTAATCGAGGCTCTTGTAGTGTGGTTGCCGTGGCAACAGAAACTGGAAGAAAATGAGTCCATTGTTCAACCAAGTATCTTGTTTCCAGCAGTTGATAGTCTAAAGTTCATCCGTCGTGTTGCATGTTTCCTGTGCTTTGGACTTGTAGGGTTGTCACAGAATGTTTAAAGATTGTTTTTGTGGTAAAAGACAGCTGTGATTGGATTCATTCAAGTGATTTCCCGCAAGTGCAATCAGTGGCCTTTTACTAATCAACTGTGTGCTCTTCACGGTGGGATTGAACCTGCAGCTTCTATATGTATTTATATATTTTTTATGCATCATCAATGTCCAAATTTATCATCATACTTACTGAAACTATCCTACCGTGATCATACCTTCTAATGACACTACGCCAGCTTAGCGCTGTCAAAATTAGAAACACGTAGACATCCACATACCACATATGATGAAAGAAAGTTTCAAAGAGTTTGCGACAACTCAGCTCAGACGAATCAGTTCTTATCAGCGAGGGATGTACGAGTAGCTATCTTGCAAATTGTAGACAATTTTCTTTGCACTTGTGTCAAATCACGTGCAATTTGCAACCTTGTAAAACTGATAGAATGAACTATACTTCATTCTATAATCCAGCCAAAGCGGATCGAATAAAATGATGTTGTCTGCTACAGCTGGCAGACCGGGTATCACAAAAAGTTTTTGCGTAAGTTGCTGACTGCATTGTTCTTACTGATCTACTGAGCGTGCAAGATATTGATCTTTTTACTCATTTTGAAACAAATTCCCAAGAGCTCCAATCCACAGCAGTGAGGGCCTGTGGTCGAGCTTCTGCAGGTCTCAGGCTGCAGACAAAACGGAGATCATGCATAGTGAAAGGAGACCGATTGAATGCACCTTTTCAATCGGCCCACGCTGAAGATGATATGATACACATTTTGTCATGAGTAGGTAGATAGAAAACATGTTGAGGTGACACGCTAATAAAGAGATAATGTGTTTTGATTTTCTCCTCCCCAGTTCATGTCTCATCTGTATGGCTTGTGTTCCTGTCTCCCCAGAACTGTCACCGAGCTGTTATTCATCTCTTCATCATGGAGGCTCAGCCCGGTGCATCATGGGAGCTCATCAGCGGTGTGACAAATACAATATATGAGGGCTGAGAGGTCGCCATGGAGACTGACAGCTACACCTCCGGCCCAGCCCCCACCGACGGCCCGGAGGGAATGGGGCTTCTTCTTCAGGATCAGGGAGACGTGGGCTTGCCCGGCGGCCTGGAGTCCTGGTACACGCCGTACTCGCTGGGTTTCCAGGTGTCGCTCACCTCCCTCCTCGTGCTGGAGCTGGTGTTGGGTTTCAGCAGCAACCTGACTGTGCTGGTGCTCTACTGGTCTCAATCCAATTTAGTGGACTCGGTGAGCAATATGGTGACGGTGAATCTGCACGTGCTGGACGTGGCGGTGTGCGCGCTGTGTCTGCCCCTCACTCTGGTGGTTGTGCTGCTGCCGCCCGGACCAAACATGGCCCTGCTCTGCTGCTTCCACGAGGCTGGCGTCACATTTGCCAGCATCGCCACAGCCATCAACATCCTGGTCATCAGCTTAGACCGATACGACATCTCGGTGAGGCCGGCCAACCGGCTGCTGACCACGCGTAGAGCGACGCTGCTCCTGGTTGCCGTTTGGATCACCTCGGTAGCTGTGTTTTTTATCCCGTTCCTGGAGGTGCAGTGGTCCAGCGGAGAAGGAGCAGAGGAGAGAGGCCAGGTGACGCCCTTGTCGTTGTCCTCGCGTGGCCTCGGCGTGGCAGTGGCGCCGGCGTGGCGTAACCAGACACTGCTGTGTGTCGGGGGCCAGGGCTACCAAACAGGTCTGGCTATGTACTACCATCTCATTCTGCAGGTGCCCATCTTTTTCACCACAGTGGCAGTCATGCTCTTCACCTACTCCAGAATACTGAGGGCTTTAAACATCCGCATCGGCTCCCACATGAAAAAAGTCCAAAGGTTCAGGGGCCCCTCCGGCAAGGGACAGGAGGGGCCCCGCGACCGAAAGAAAAAAAAGAAAGCAGGGCTCAGAGTGAGCGAAGGTGGGCAGGTGGGACAGGAGCGGTGCACCACGGATTGTACCAAAAAGCTCTGCCACCCTCCCCTCATTGCTTCTCCCACTCCCACGGCCACCTCCCCGCCTGCCCTGTCCTCCGCCCCGCTCGTCACCTCCGACGCAGGTGCCGCGACCGCCATGCCCACCACTGTGGGTGTCCAGGCCTCCGTGTCCGCCATCATCGCCCTCAGGAGGGCAGTGCGGCGGCACCGGGATCGGCGGGAGCGACAGAGGCGGGTGTTCAGGATGTCTCTCATCATCATCACCACGTTCCTGGGCTGTTGGGCTCCCCTCTCCGTGACCAACATACTGATCCTCGGCATTGGCCCCAGCGACGTCCTGGTCAGCCTTCGCCTCTGGTTCTTGGCCCTGTCGTACGGCACCACCGTCTCCCACCCTCTGCTCTACGCCTTCACCCGGCAGAAGCTGCGGCGTGCCCTCCGTACCAAGGTCAAGAAGAGGGTGGTGTCGCTGCTGCAGGTGGACCCGTCACCGGGGGGCACCGTCATACACAACTCCTGGGTGGAGAACCGGAAAACCAGCCGGCAAGTGCGGCTGGAAGCAAGCGAAGGTACCGACCGCTGCCTGGCAGAGGTCCTTTGAGAGTGAAACACAAGGGCCCGGCTAGTTATTACTAGTAATTAAAAATGGAGTGAAAGTTGTGTTCTATTAGGAAACTCACTGGCGCGTGAAGCCAGTGCCTGAAATAAACACATCTACACCTTTGGGAGATGTTTTAATGTAAGCACCAAGCCCACGCTGGAGGCAGCAGGACGCTGCCGACATACAGCCACTGTGGCTGGATGTAAAATGTGCATGAAATGTGTATAACTTGCAGCCAGTCAAATGTGTTTACACACGTATGAAAGAGCGTTCTCATGCTTACCTAACTGCTCCAAAGAATGTGTTTAACCAGCAGATGATATGGAATGCCGACTCAAAGGCTCCAAGGCAGCTTTAAAAACAAAGAATTGGTACTCTTTGATGAAGTAAATACTCAAAAAACTCTTTTGAATGTATTTGATATGGTCTCTGGTGTAGTTCTGCTGAGATGGTCCATTCTGAGCTGAAATGGGGAACATGTTGGATATGTAGAAGCAAGACGCAGTGATGATGTGAGGATAAGATGTAAAAGTAGTTATTAAGCAGTAAATGTTACAGTGTTTACAAGAAACCTAGCAAAGCTCTTTTGCACCAGAATTTGGATTTTTAATGGTATAATGTCTTATTGATGTTTTGGATGTCCTGATTGGAGACGGTAGTTTGACCCTTTGGGAAATGAGATGAAAAGATTGATGCTGCTGCTACCGAACTCTCTGCCAGAAAGTGATAAGCCGTTCTCCCAAAATGTCTTTCTAATCCTTTTAAATCCAAAAGAAATCTATTCATTACATTAAATGTTTCTTATTGGATTGTGTTTAATTAGCTAGTCAATATAATGCAGTCTCATCCAAAATCGACTCATTTACTAAAATAATCAGTTGATTAAATGTCTCTGAGACATCCGCAACCAAAACAGAGTAGTTATAGCTTTAATAAACATAGATTACATCGTCGGCCTGTTGTTTTGGAGTGTATCATATTTAAACTTTGGGGTTTTGGCATGCTAAAAGCATGCATTTCTCTTTTGAGTAACATTTATGTACACGTTGTAAATACTAACCAGATTAAAATGTATGTTATGGAAAATCTACAGTAGAAGTTACTAAGTCTGTATGCGATTATAGATTTAGAGGAGTGTTTTATTTGCAGCTGGCTAGTCCAAACATGTGATCCCAAGGGTCAACTCAACCTCAGCGTGCAGCAAACACCACGGAGCAACTGTCACTGCAGCCGAGCACCGACACACTTTGGCTTCTTTATAATGGCTTGTGTTTCCTGTTGACTTTGTTCCACCTGATTGGTTGCTCACGGCTCCGGTGGCGTGCTCACAGTGAGGCCTCGTGATCCATCCTGCACACGCTACGCATTCTTGAATGTAAACCCATGAAACAAATATATATATATTATGTTGTACGTACACCAAGAATATGCTATATTTATAGGTTTTCTTCATGGTAATGTTATGATGTGACCATATTAATAAATATGAAATACTCCGTGCTGTATTTTCTGCTTTTGTCCGCTGCTCATATCTGGTGTGAGTTTGTGGAATGTCAAAGAAGCTGGCTACTAAAAAAAAAGAAACAAACAATGTTTCTGTCTAAAAACCATGTCCTGGGGGGGGTGGAGGAGGAGCGGTGGGCTTTCACAGCTGTTTTTTCCTTTACAACATGCTGAGACTAGCATGAGGACAATGTACACCACTGTCCATATAGCTCACATGATCATTCCCCTGTTAAGGGACACACGGTGAGACACTGTTGAGCCAGAGAACACCAAGTCCTCTCGACACACTCAAAGTCAGAAATATATATAGTTCGAAATGTATTGCTGTTCTCTATGTGTTGGGCATGGACGGCATGTTGCATACGGAACACAGTTTGTGCATTTAGAACAATCAGTAAGCAGCCAATAACGCAAGTGAGTAGGTGGTGCGATCTGTACGTGTTAATTTTAGCATTGTCTTGTTGCTGTTGGCATGCTGAAAATCAAACTCCGACGTCAAACCGCTTTCCTACTTTCCAACGAGAAGCCTCCCTTCACTGTGGTTGCATCCGTGTTCTGAACGGGTGCCCTCCGTAGGCTCCGATCACCTCCAGTACCTGCCAGTGTTCCTGCAGTGCTCCTCCCAATGAGCTATTCTCTACGTGTTTAGCTGAAACGCTGCCAGTGTGCTGTTTGAAAACTTGGTGTGGGCTTTGTGTTGCGTGGGAGGAAGGTGAAAGAGACCTCTGCGGTATGGGAAAAAGAAGGTCATCCATGTGGGATGAAGCCTGCAGGGCAAACTAACTCAGCACCACATGGGCCATCAGCTTGCTGCTACTGTTGATGATTTTAAATATTACTTGTAGTCAAATAACATTTAAATGGTGAAAACACGATCTGGACATTATTATTATTGTCATGATAAATGCACTACAAGTAAAGGTTGACCTCTTGTGGTTATTATCCAACATTGAAAATGTGCAAGCATACATTCGACATCGCTGTACTGAAACATTTTGTCTGCATGCACTACAAGGCCTTCATGGCTCCTTTTGAAATTTGCTTAAATGAACACTTAATTCTAAAAGAGATATTCCTCTTTTAACAGGATCTGGTTTGTGGTATCTGCTGAAGTAGCTCATTAGAGAGCAATCTGAAAGGCTGAAATCTTAAATGGTACTAAGAAGATTTAATGATGAGCAACCTTCTTGTTGACATACATGTGTGTATCTCCAGAGGAGGGATTGAACGTTCTAAGGCCACGTGCAGGTGTCCTATTGTCAAAGGACAGAAACATTTCGCGAGAAGGACACGGTCGTCTACTGGTAAAGGTTGCACAGGACAGGACTTTAAAGAACGTAAGGCGTAACTCCCATCCTCCCTCGATGTTCAAAACTGGAAGTCAGTCGAGAACAAAAAACGTATTTAAAAATAAGATGGCGTGGGGTGATGTGGGGTTTATGATTGATCTTAATGTATCACTATAGGACATAAAAAAAACAAGGAAGCGCTCCTTTTTTGTAAATGTATTGGCAAGAAATCCATGAATTACGAATACTTTTATGAATTACATAGCATTTGTAATAAAGAAATTTGAATAAACCTACAGTGCCATGGACTATGTTTGCATTTTTTGCATAGCTCCCTATAGTGCATAGGCTTTACAACAGCTGAATGATATGATGAAGGGGGTGCAGGGAAATCCCGCTGTGGGGGGAACAGCATGATGATAATAAGAAACTCATATGATGACACATTATCTGATGAGCCACTGGTTGGATACTCCTCCACAGCTCTTACAATCAGCTGGTTGTTGTTGGTCTAATTTTAGACGCCATAAACAACTGTTGATTTACATCAGCTCAGAGAGCTGGTCCTTTCATGGTCTGCAGGATTAATATCTAGTGTACAAGAAAGGTTTTTAATTTTCTAACTGAACGGTCACCTTCATTTTGTGCGTGGACAACACTTCAGTTAACTTATACTTTAAAATCTCTGTGCAATGCTGCATTGCTCGGAAACTGCATCTAAAAACTCAATACGGTCCCTCCTCTCGAAAGCCAAGAAAAGACAATCCTATTAGACGTGTGTGGTAATTTGTATGATGCACGTTGCGTGCTTTATAAGAACCCTAACTGACCAGGACAGAGTCAATGTATACAACAGCATATTGCACAACACTGCAAGAGCCATTTGCAAAGGTCCATCCATCCATTGTCAAACCGCTTATCCTGCACTCAGGGTCGCGGGGGGGCTGGAGTCCATCCCAGCTAACTTCGGGCGATAGACAGGGTACATCCTGGATTGGTCGCCAGCCAATCGCAGGGCTACACAGAGACACACAACCATTCACACTCACATTCACACATCTACGGGCAATTTAAAGTCCCCAATTAACCTGATCCCCAGAGCATGTCTTTGGACTGTGGGAGGAAGCCGGAGAACCCGGAGAGAACCCACGCAGACACATGCAGACATGCAGACTCCACACAGAAAGGCCACTGGGCGGAATCGAACCCAGGACCTTCTTGCTGTGAGGCGACAGTGCTAACCACCACGCCACCGTGCCGCCCCCATTTGCAAAGGTATGATAGTTAATTTGTTCCTCGTGAAAATATTTTATCAACATAGGAAGAAAATACTTAAATTTTACATTCTACAGATGTTTGTTAATTCTGATGAATTAATGTTTGATGAAAAATCCAAACATGCCTTATAACTGTTAATACGGTGAACAATATTCAAGACTAATCTGTCCACTGGTACGTCAGTAGATAAATTGGGGATACATACAATGTTGTTACATCATCCGCCGAAATAGCTCAGTTGGGAGAGCGTTAGACTGAAGATCTAAAGGTCCCTGGTTCGATCCCGGGTTTCGGCAGTGACTGATAAACTTTTTTTAAATCAAAGAGCATTCTTGAAAGGGTGAAATCTTATAACGGTAATAAATGAAGATTAAAGGTTTGGCAACGTTCTTCAGTATGATTGACAGCGCATTACATAGACAAGCAATGCAGGACTGAGTTAAAAAAATAAATATTGCTACGATTACTTACCATACCGAAATGGTAAGTACTAAACCGCAAGTAAAATAAACTGCCTATGAATGAATTAAACGTCTTACCTGAACGGAACATCTACATCATTGTTTGTCACTTTTACTCCTTTATTACTCTGTTTTTTGTGTTATGTTAATGATTTCTTGCCGTCTCCATAAACAGGATCAGTGAGTGCAGCTAGACAGAAGCAAACGAGTCCGAGCAAATCTTCCGCGTGTAGAGGAAATATTTAGTAGTAGAACACAGCAACCATGCGACTTTGATTTTGTGTAGATCCGGTTCAATTAAAGACACAGACAGACACCTGATGGACGGTAGGTTTCTGCACGGAACAGTTTTTGATGCTGAATGCTGAATCGAATCACCGTTTCCGACGTTGAGTGATTAATCTATGCAGACGAAACTGAAGATCGTGGAAGTGCCCAGTTCTGACTATTGTGAAACATTTAAAAGCACTTTTTGGATTGGCCGTAACGGTAGTGCATTTTACAGCCAGCAGATGGCAGGAGTCGTGCACCGTTTCAGCCCACTGAGAAACACTGGCACCAACAAGAACTCAAGAAAGTAGATTGATTAGTGCACCTGCACCACCGCGAGGCATATGAGCAAAAGCGTTGTGATGTCATGTTTAAACTTTATTGGAATTTTTTTTGTATGCACTTCGTTGCCAATGGCCCAACTTGGTCACGGTTGTGAAGGCCTATTTTATTTGGGCCTAACTATTTTTGTGTGCATGTATGAAAGTGTGTTTGTCGTTATAGGCCATGCACATATTGGACCGGACGAATAACTGAAGAGCTGAACAACTCACGGTAATAATGGATAATGAGAAACATTTCATACAACTATGTATGTTTTCAAGTAGGTCGGCTAGCCTCTGCTCCGACATAATGCGAGTATAAACAAGTAATAATAAGTATGTTAATGGTTATTTTCAAATGCACATATACAATAGTCTACACTTAAGTTCAAGTGATGGATAAAGAATTGGCTTAAAGTAATACCAGCTGACAAGCAGCCCTGCGTTAGCACAGATGGATATCCTTCGGTTCGATATGATTCTATGGTCGAAACAATGCAAAATAAGCACTTATGTAAGTGCAGGTCACATCAGACATAATATCATTTCGACAGAGCCTGAGCAGGAGTGCGTCAGGTTTCTGGTTCACCATCTTCCAGCTGTTCCGGCCCGTCTCAGTGCCATCTGAGCCGCGTAGAGCCTCGGACGAAGAGAGCGGGTCCGGGACACGGGGCGGCAAACAGGACAGGGATCTGCGTCACACCCATTGAAACCCGAATGAATGAACCAACCAGCTCTCTGTGGTAATGTGCTAATCAGGGGCACACTGATAATGAACGGAATGAAAGTGATTCAAGACCGAACAATGCAAAAGATTGGCAGGAGGGGAGAAAAAAGGTGTAAAATGTGTGTGTGTGTACTGCAGCTTGTTTTTGCAACTTGTTTGCTTTCAAAGAGATAACCTTAAAAGTGTTCATAACCAGATCACACCTATGCTACAAAACACAGTCATGTAATCAATTATATTTATTTTGTGTAGCCCCAAATATTACATATATCCCAAATTAGCACAGTAATGTTGCCAGTGTGTTGTGTAAATGTGTCGTGTGTTTTGAGGGGGGGGATCCAGTGGAGCCCTGAAAGCACATTAATCGACAGAGAATACAAACTAATTGTGTGCCTCCTTTTCTAAATGACGTTCTGATCTCCCCCTCTAATTACCATGCGATTCATTTCTGTTAGTTACACAACATCCCACCCGCTCATTGCCTCTCTCCCTTCTGGTGGTTTCCACAACTGTAGTTTGGTTTCCTGGTGGCTTTGTTCCCACTGCTCTCGGAGACTTGCCCAAAAAATGCTTTAAGATTCCAGTCGAGCTCTAAACCTTTTCAATGAGATGGTTGGATGCGATCCGCAGGTGGAGAACAGCCCACACAGCCGGACACGATTCATGGTTGCGGAAAGAGGATGTTTTTGCTCTTAATTCATCCAAACTCTATTCAGTCGAGTTTCACTTCCAAGCAGCTCACGCAGACACTGCGGCCGGCCTGGCATTGCTTTAAGGCTTGCATAACTCCTGCAAAGCAACACCCCCCCTGTTACAGCACCACTCTCTGCAGGGCCGGGAGCTCCCTCTTCCCAAAGAAGGCGGCGAGGCTCCCAGTCGGGCCCCCCCCCTGCCCACCCCCCCACCACCACCTTGACAGGCAGCCCGAAGCCCCTGTGTGATAGAGACGCTGATGGGCTTTGGTCGCCGAGGCGTTGATGTGAGAGGATCTAAAAGCAATGCAGACTCCGGGGGTGACGGACGCCGCGCCGCGTCTCCTCTGTCAACTGATCTCTGACAACTCCTGAGGGAAATGTCTGTCTCTTCACCAGCGGAATGATTCTCCATTTTGCTTTGGCGTGTCGCTGTCTGCTGCTGGTATCTGGTCATTTTTCAGCTAGTTGCTCAAAACACCTGCCCTTTGCGTGAGGAAACGATTCAAGAAATGCTGAACATGCACATTCTTCCGTGGCCCTGCAGACAGTCCATGCGTTTTTGCTGAAATGCACACTAGTGTGCTCACAAACTCTGAATGGTTACCGGGAATTCACTGCTGTGAGACCGCTGAATGCAGCAGAATCAGCTTGTTGGTCTATATATCACGCAATAATATCCAGAGATGCTACTGGCGAGATGTGAAAATCTAACTTAACAGTATTCATGAAACCTCCTTTCAAAAGTATTCCATTCGTTTACCACTGATTACATTACACAATGTATAATTTGTTTGGCATGTCCCAAATAAGCGTGCCGATAAAATTGAAGGGATCTGGCCAACCGATGAGAAGTAATCATTCAAAGATGGTCTTGTTGTGGAGATCTTGTGACCCACCGTGATGCACTCAGTCCAAATGTGACAAGGGGAGGTTGTCCGAGAGAACAGTATGACAACGCTTTTGTCCCCGTGGACAAAGGGAGGCGTTGTCTTCTCCGACTGGCTGAGTGGAAAGTAACGAGCCCACTCACTGTTCCATGAACAAGCTCCACGGACAGCGGGAAGGCTTGTCCCTCGGTGTGTAGAGGCCGCTCGTCAGATTGGGGTTGTTCTTTCTCTGAACACTGTTGACCTTTTGTAAATGCCTGGGAGCCGATCTACGTCATCAAATCAAAGCTGCAATGGCGACAAAAATATGGTCGTTGTCTTCATTCAAACAATGGGGACACTTTGGGACTAAAATCTTCACGCCACTATATTCATTTGAAAAATGCATTTGCACTAGTAAGAGTTAATAAGGTTTAAAATCGTATGTCTAAAATCTGCTTCTCCCACTGAACGTAGACCTGGAGGATCACATGCACAACATGCGCACTTCGCTGACCTCCTGCTGTGCGTGTCCAGACCAGATGAAGACACTGACATCATCTACTGCAGATTGACACCAGCAGGTGCACCAGACTTTCACAGTCTGAAGACTCCCTCTCATCACATTCACGACCACGTCACGTTCTTGTGCCTCTAAATTTAATTTCTGTTCCCTCTTGACTCAGAGGAGTCACACGGGTTAATAACTGAGGTGAGGCTTGTTACCTAATGCAGTCTTTGGAGGGTCGGGTCCACGAAGCAAACATTTTCAGACAAAGAAAAAGAATATTCATATTCCAAGGGTTTGTCCCACATTTTGAACAGCAAATTGTGTAAGTCTCACCTCATTTGTCCGATTTCGTCTTTGGCGTCTGCTACTTCCTGGTTAGTGGGCCCATTAGTTTAGGCTACCAAACTCTCAAAATGCTGAATAAAACAATAATATAGAGTAGTGAAGTATGGTTGTGGTTAAGTATACTGACAGGGGAAGAAGTTACTGAGGAAAGACGTGTTCATGTTGGCAGTGTGTGATATTTGGGGCTGCTGAATCCAAAGATGGATTATCAATGGTTGCATTATCGTAGCATTTATAGCTTTGCTGGGCGAGTTACCTTGGAGCTGCAAGCACTACTTATTTTGTTAACTCGATTCACGTTTTTCTAGAAAATGCCAGAAAATTGTCTCAGAACCCAAGGTGTTAGCTTAACGTTATTGGTTTTGTCGAGCCAACAGTCGAGAACACAAAGATGTTTCACAACGATCAAATGTATCAAATCTGTTGAGAGTTTGGAACCAACATTTATTTTTTAAATGTTTGCGTCTGAATGTGATTGAGCAAAAATATTACCAAAATGTTACACTTATTATTTCAGGCCTGGACAGGTGTTTATTACCTTTGCCTAAATTCCTACTTCCACGCATCTAATTTGGAAACTTATCTTTCCCCCTATCATTTTTGTAGTGCATGATCTTTTCCTAGACATAACCAAGTGTGATTTTTGCCTGAACATAAGGACATTTGTGGCAGGAAGGGAAAGTTCTCCCTTTTGCGTTTGCATTTTATTTTGGTTAGGTTTTTCCAGATGTTGTAATTAAAGTCCAGCCTGTGAACCAGCTTCTTTTCCTGTGGTCCATTCAGCCGTGGATAAGCCTCGTCTCTAGCACTTAGATGACAGCACTTAGATAACACTTGTCATGGTGAAGATTTCCCCACTGGCTTGGCTGGCCTCCACCATGCTGTGATAGTATTTTGTGTCATCGAAAAATGACGCCAGGTGGTTCCATGGATGATGACAAGCTGTCGTCTCACTGAAGATGAATCTTTTTTTTTGCGCATTCTCCCACTGAAGGTTGTTGTATGCTGATGCAAAACCACGTAGGTATACATGTAGCACACACATTAAACTGTGCTGTCCACAACAGGATCACTTACCCATCGCCTAAGATATTCTGCTATTATAAAAAATGCATTTAGTCTTTTCTACCCTGTTTGACATGTCACTTGGAGCCTGGTTGTTCGAGGTTGTAATTTAACTTGTGTAACAGCAGTTGCACGATGACGTGTAGAAATATTGGTAGGCGAAGCCGAGCAGCTCTGGTGTACACAACATGTTACGTCGTTAATTTTAACGACGTAACATTCTTTGTTGCCATTCGTTGAAAAGTATCTGAACATCGCCAGAAAATGCATCTCTAGCCAAGAAATTACGGTTTAATATAAGCAGACCTAATTGCTACGTAGTGGTGTGCATGTTATTTCTCCTGACCCCTGGATGACATGCTTGTCTACTATGATGGAGCTAAATAGACTGGGCTCTATTCACTTCCTTCTGTACGTTATGGTTCACAGGGCCGCTATAATGATGATAAAGCACAGCCAGTACTCACATGGCAGACTTGCGTGTACTTTTAAAATATTTAATTTGGGGTTTTTTTGGGTGCTCAAAAAGGCCATTTTCTCATGAGGGAGAAGGCATTGCAGTATGCGGCCCATCTTCTCATTCCGCTATCCCGTACTCTAGAGCAGTGGTTCCCAAAGTGGGGGTCGCAACCCCCAGGGGGGGCGCGCCGGGCATCACCAACCCTAACACACATCCACGACAAATAAATAACTAAACGAAAGCAAAACCGAGAGAGAGAGAGAGACGTAAAGTGGAATGTGGAAATATACGTTTTTGCTCTGTTCCCAGCTTCAATGTTAACATTTGGTGTAACTTTGATGTTGTTGAAAATATGTTGTAAAAATGCAATGTAAATGTAAAAAATAATACTTTAGGAGCTTTTTGCCGGTGAAACCAGCCAGCATTTTTGACAGTGCCTCAAACTATCCACTTCACAGAGAATTTCTTCTTTTTCTAGTATGTGGGCAACAAACATTGGCTTAACGACAGAAGCATGACATGCTGAACACTATGTGAAATGCAAGGTGCAAATAACAGATTGATCGCTATCTGTGCAGCAGCACGGAATAGCATCCCTCTGAGATCAAAACTAAGGGATGGATGCGCATGTGACACAGGTTACGGACAAGATGAAACCGCATCAGAGCGATTCTGTGGAGAGAAGGTAACACTGTGCCAGCACCTCATTTGAGGCCCAAGTTTCAAAGCATGTCCTCGGCCTGGAGCCACCAGCTCTGCTTTGACCTCTCTGAATAATTCAGGTCCTTGCCCCAAGCCTACAGGGAGACGCCATCGCTCACTTTGAACCCGCTCCTGCATTCCATCATCTGCTAGTTCATTGGTTTTGACTAGTAGCCATGAGTTAGTGGCCAGTTTGAAAGGAGAAGCATGTTGGTGTTCAGCATCCAGGTGGACTGCTGGCCTCTTCCGGGGCTATCGGTATTTGTCATTGAGAGGACGCTTAGCACAGAGTGGACGACTACGAGTCGCTGTGGCACAATCCTGGGCCTTCGCCAGCGGCATTCCTCCCCTCACCTCACTCGCTCTCGCTCACATCCTACCGTTGGGACGGACTCTCGTTAAGCAGCCTTTTGTTGAAGGATTACTGAGTTTATATTTAACCTCTGCTCATACTATCGAAGCATTTGTTTGCACCAGCGGCTTATTTAGAGTCCATATCTGCATCTCTCCGCCGTCTCCCTCCCCTGTCTCTCCGCCACTTGCAGCCTCTCTTCTGTCTCACATCTATCTGTTCCAAGGACTTATTTCCCTGTAGATAATAAGGTCATTCTTCATCTATTTTCGTCAAGGCAGGACCTACTTTCTCCCCGTGGAGTCCCCAGCTGGGCTTCATGTTTGGGCCCTGAACATTCACAGCATTGCGTTGTGCAGTGTTTGCTGCATGTGATTAATCAGGCATCATATTGTTTCTGAAGTCTGCATGCCTCCTCCTCTTCCTCCTCCTCCTCCTCCTCCTCATGCCTGGTCCCACACTACTCTCGCATGGGTGTTCCTGTGCTTTAGGAACAGGCCGTTCCCTGCCTACCGGACACGGGCGAGTTGGGCAGAGTGAATTCTCAATGGCTCGTTGAGAGTTCAGTTGTAGGATTTGGCCTCTGGAAATTTAAACTTAAGCAACTCTCCTGCAAAAAAAGACACCCGCCCCAAGAGGTCAGTGGCATGGAAACAGGGGTTTCTATTTCGGGTGCTGGCCGTGTTTGTGACATTGTCCTTGTAACCTTGTTGGCCTTCTGTTTAGCAACATATGCACAGTCATGACCCTGAAGTGGTGCTTATGGGTGTTTTACAGCCAGTGAAATGTTTGAGCTCCTGGTAGGGAAGGACTTCTCTGGACCCTGAACCGTTTGCAATTCACCCTCCAATTATTCACCGGGACACTCTGTTTTGTGTTGGCCTTTTGTTACCACAGTTTTCGGGCTGGAGGTACAGACAGGATACCCGTTGATTAAAACCTCTTCACTAGAGGGTAACAACAAGGCCCTTTTCTTTTACATTATATTACAACCAAGCACAAGTGAGTAGAGATAAGTCAGGGCTGGACAGACATTTGATACGCTTTGTGTTAAGACTGATTTAAATGCCACACAAGGAAGTCATGAAAGGGTTACCCTCCCCCAGCAGAAAAGGAGACAGAGGTCCGAAAGCGATCACAATAGTAACACAATTGGTGGGCGAGAGGTTAATAGAAGGCATAGTAGTGCACTGCAGTGTGAATGGAAACTATGAGGAAATCAAAACTCCTGTGTCGAGATCAAATCTCTTCCAGGAAAGAAAAATTGCCTTTTTAAGATGTCTCGCCAACATAAACACAGACAGTTTAAACGCACATTTCCTCAACGCACTCTATGGATCACTGTGTCACGTCTACGGTGGACCCTTTTAACACTACATGAAAGAAGCCACGTTAAATGTTGCTTCCTCATACATTTTGATAGCTCTCTGTGCCAAAGTAATCATGGGAATGATGTCGACATTTTAAGTGAATGTATTTGTTTTACGGTGAATAAGTTACTGTAGAAATATTTTGGAAAGGGTTACCACATGAAGCAGGTCCAGCAAGTGCTCAATGGAAACAACCCAACACCTCAAGTATTTTACACGTGACGTAATATTTTTCATCCTAATTTTAGGACGTTTCTTTTCTCTCTGTTGAGATCCTGACTCGATGCACCCTGCCATGCAAGCGGACTGAGCAAATCATCCAGAGGAGAATCACACTGGCAAGTGTGACGTCATGTCTGACGCAGTGGATTCACTGAACCTCAGATGTGTATCCAGGCGAGTGAGTGACACGGCGGGTTTGTTTGCGTTGGTCTGGCCATGTAAAAGCCTGTAACGCAGTTCTGGATGAAATAGCTGCTTGTTTTCTCACTGCAATTATCATATTCATTAAATATGATCATATTTTTAAAACTTGGCAAGGTCTTATCTTCAGTCTTTCCTTTTATTAAGCTCCAAACGTTCACTTCTTTCTTCGTCATTCCCTTTGACGCTCTGATCCTATCTCATGCAGTTTCCTTTATATTCAGAAATGCCTGCATCTTTTAAGAGTATGGCGCTCTCCCATACTTTGAACATCTTGATAAATCCCCATTGCAGGGTCCCTTCTGGTCGAGACAAGGCCGCCTCCAAATTCTTTTTGGTTACAAAAACATTAGTGAGATAGATAGTTTGTGAGAAAGTGCTGTGGTCTGGAGACACTGTGGCGATGCTTTTAATACTATAAAACTGCGTTCTTCAGGCATTTGGAGTACATAGAAAAGCTATGGAACACATTTCTAAAGTAATTTACCTCTGGATAGAAATGCCACTGACATTCACATTTTTGTGTAATGTCTTCTGTGCCCTCAAGTGTCCACGCTGTCACGGCACGAACAACCACTGATGTGTGAGGAGTATTGTTGACATACAACTGTCCCAACGCCCCAATCCATTGGATCATCGTATCACGATCTTCAGCCCAAATACAGCGGAGTTTAGAGCGACTGTGCGCTCGGGATACGGATATGTCGACCAGGATGGCCTGCTACGTAACCCCACTCGAGGGTTCCTGCCTCCTACAATGGTTATCTGGTGTTTACCCGCCCGCGGCCTTGCTCGGTCACAGACATGAAGACAAGAACTGACCGGTGTAATTTGCAGGTGATATTGCAGTACAACTGCGATCATTATGAACTATTTCATTAAGTTGTTTCCACTCATGAAACATTGGGTTGTTTACCACTCAGTCTCATCCTAATTGGCAGCACAACTGTTGGCAGGAGGTTTTGTGATGAGAATAACTTGTTGTGTTCCTTTTGAATAGAATTACATATTTTCTTTTGAGCGCGGTCCATGTGAAAGGCCAAGGTCAGTGCTGTTGGTGGAGAGAGGAGAGTTCTCTGCTGTCCAAACCAAAGGGTGGAGGTGAGCCATTGACCTTTGACCGTCCTCAGCTACAGAGAAGGAACGCAGCCAAAAAGGACACGGACACGGCCCAGGCCTGTGCGAGCGAAAGCCAGAACCAAAACCTTGTGAATGCGGGTCAATTGTTAATTTAAAAGTTTTACTTTTTAGTTTGTGCAAATGTGATGCATATAAAAATCAAAATGCTGATATTGGCAGTGAAAATTACACCACACTGAAACACCAGCGCTGGCCTTGACAGTCAAAGGCTCCTCCGTGCAGACGGTCTCTGGACCAATGAATTGTTCCCTTTCTGGTCGATCCCCGTGTTTCTTTGGCTCTCGCATTCGTAATGGAGCAAGCTGTTTATTAATAGCTTGTGCGCTGCATGAATTCCTCACAGCATGTGGTATTTTCAGAAGGGGCTTAGGTTGTTTATCTGGTCAGATGTCAGGAGATCAGTCTGTAAATTGACCCCGCAAATCACCACGCCGGTAAGATCGGCCGGTGGTAAGTGTCCATGTTTTTCTCCCTGTCTGCACGTGTGATCTTCGTGCCTTTCGGCGCACCTGAGTGCGAGTTGATGTGTCTTTGCACGATTCCCGTTGGCCACTCCCTAAAACGGTCCAGGTAGATCCAGACTCATGCCACCTCATTCAGATTATCTGTCTCATCCTAAATCCTCTAAGGCTCTTGAGGTAAATAAGGTCAGCAGGACAAAAACACATAACAAACAAGTTCTGAGAACCGTGGCTAATACGGAGCATTCACTTAACCTTAATACAAGTTATTTATGTTCAAAAGAAGTAGTTTGTGAGATTGTTTTTGTTGTATTTACTGGAGGTAAGAACCTAGTTTGTGTGTGTGTGTGGGTTCTCCTTGTTTTGACTTTGCCCCTCACATTCCCCGTCTCTCCTAACTGTGTCCATTTGTTATATCAAAATTCACTCAGCACCTCCTTATTAGCCCCCTCCTCCAACGTCCATGTCCACACAATGGCAACGAACGGCCTGCACCCCCCCCCCCCCCTCCCCCACCTCACTCCCTGCACTCCCCTCCACCAACTATCCTCCGTAGTCCGCCGGTCACATTTCTAGGACGCCTGAAGCTGCTGCAGAGCCCTCTGGAGCAGTCCTTGATCAATGGAATGTTGTCCCATTTGACCTCTAACTCCGTCCCCTTCGCTGCCCTGTTGATAGAGACTGTCCTGACTGCCCTGTCGCTGAGTGTTGATAGAGAAAAGCTCACAAATTAAGTTTGCTAAATGAGCCCTGTGATCTCTGTAAATATGTGGATCATGGTGAGGAAGGATGTTATCTGCAGGATTTTGTCTTTGACGGCTAGAAAAGAGTAAAAGTTCCTTTTTGTAAATTGCTTTTAATGAAAATTCAACGATCCGTGTTATTTGTGTGACAGACTGGGGACATTGACTGTGTGTGACATCGATATAGTTACATGCTGAATATTGTGTGTTTTATCCAGATCCTTTTGCAAAGCTGTTTCTACCTGGCATAGTTCTGGATTGCAACCTGTTAGCTGCATGTCCCGGTGTCTCTGTTTGCTGGCGCACCTCATCGGCACTATGAAAAGCCCCTGCTAACTGCCCCATGCTGATCTTGGCCCATTTCTTCCAAGGTCACGGTGCTCTCTCCGCTGTCTCTTTTACTTCGGTTGCTCTTTACAGTCATCTCCACTTTACAGTTTATAATCAAACAACAGGTTGGGCTTCAATTGCTGCATTTCTACAGGATTATATACAGTATTTTTCCATTCCATTGTTCTCAGAGAATCCTGCACAAACCTGCAAATGTGAAATACCGGCAATATTCACTCCACCCGGCCTGTTTTCTTTTAAAGGTTAATCCCTCGAATGTTTGTTTAATTGACATACATTCGTGATGTTTATCTTTGTTCCAGCTGATAATAACTGATTTTCTAAAAGTGTGCTGTATACCTGGAAGTTTAGAAGTAACTGAGATCCATGATGCATCATCTGCCCGATGAACTCTATCCATGCCACTGATGCATTTCATCTTGTTTGGAAAGTGTCTCCATATGCCACTTAGTGCATTAATGAAGCGTCAAAAACGAATTGCAAAGATGTAAAGAGTGGTGGAAACCCATGCAAGGAACACAGTCTCCCTCTCTGTGTTCAATATTCCTGTTTTTGCTATCATCCAGTGCTATTGTTTGCACGGTTCCCGCGGCTAGCCGCTGGCTCAGCCTTCGCTGAATAGCCGAATGGAGGCAAAGACAGATTTGTTCCCAACTCTGTATCAAGTTTCTGTAATGTGGGCTTTTCGACATGGCCAACTGTCCGCCACTCTCTTTGATCTTATTTATACACGGCATCCAATGCAGCAGTTGACATTGACATTGTTGCATATATACGCTGCAAGGCAAACACGTAGGTCATAAACTCATGGATGATTATTATCCATGATTTAACATGTTTTCTTTATTACCCCCAGCCATGATTTATATCCGCGCAGACACTTAAAAAGAGAAACATCAATGGGAACACATGTGTTGTGTTCGGGGCTTCTTGGATCTATTTAGTGACTGCATGACATCAGCATGAACAAACCACATATTTCTCTGCTGAAGTCAAGTGTGGTCGGTCTTTGTTAACGTGCCTGTGGCTGAAAGATGTCAGAGCGAGGGTGTTTGTACTGAGCTGCAGGAGCAAACCGGCATTGGACAGACAGGAAAACACACATGTGTTTAAGTGTGCCTGCGGCTATTTCCTACTTGTTTGTCACCGCCTGTTTTGCACTTGCGTTCCTAAAGGGAGGATTAGAGAGATTAGCTCTGGCTTCCTGACTCTGGCTCCTTGGTCAACCAGCCAGCGTCCAACTGCAATGTACAGTACAAGCGCACGTGGCTGTGCGCGCACGCGAAAAACGCGCTCGCGCTGTCACAAGTGCGGGAAAGAAAATACAGCTTTTGGAGCCCACGGACAGACGTCGTGGTAAAATCCCACGCGCTTCTGTCTGCGTCGTGTGTTCCCACCAGCAGCGTAAAGCTGGCGGCACATGAATGAAAGAAGTGAATGACTTAATGTCTTAATCAGGCCATAATCTGTGTGAACCAGGGAAGGAGGATGGATGAGGATTAGAGTTTCCACTCGGGCCAAAGCAGAGTTCCTAGCAAGCCCGTGTTGTCACCCTCTGCTTTACCTTATCCACCACCTCGGCTGCCATCTCCTACTTAGTTCCTTGAGACCTTTAAGTTAAATTATTGTTGATTCGGAGGTTCTGCAAAGATCTGGATGCTCACTTTAAATCTTAGCAGGTGTTATTTTCTGTTTTGTTACAAATCATTTATTTGTTTTGTTGGTAGGAATTATGTGTATTAACTTAATGTATTTTAGGTTCATACTTGAAATAACTTCCTTAATAGATTTATTAGCTTCACTGAGTCACGGGGCTTTCTTTCGAATTGGACGGTCTTTTGACCTCGCATTGTCCACTATGTTCACGTCAAACAGCCAAATGTAAAACTAAAGCAAAGGACGCAAATGAGAACACGAGTATTGAGTGTTTTCCATGTGAGCGACAACGTGTGAGGCAGGAAACGGCGTGCCGGGCACCGAAACCAGGAAATGCAAAAGCAGGCCGCCACAGCAGCGTTCCACACAACTCGTATTCATTCGGCCGCTATGATCTGGGGTGTACAAAAATTCTCAAAGCTGAATAGATACTATACATTTATATTAAATCTGTATGTCTTTGTCACAAAAGCAAAGCTTCATTGAGTAGTCCGTACATTTTAAATTAGTAAGTTGATTTTGCCGTCAGTCGGATGGTATTTAAGACCTTCACTCCAGTCCGTTGTAAATGGTGTTGATTGCAAAAATTGATATTAAGTAATACAACAGTGCCTCTTACAGTGGCATCCATCTAAAATTGATCGGATCCATGCTGATCTGAAGCCGATCGCTGCTGATTGGCATGTGTGTAATGAACCCCACCGTCACCAGACCGCTGTAGTGTGACCGTGTACGTTTCTCCCTGATGGGCATTGAACCGGCGAGCCAGAATTCTGCTGACTTGTTATGTGTGTGAGGGAGTGTGCGTCCCACCGCATACCTTTAGAAATGCTTATTGTTATCACATCATAAGGTCAGGACGAATTTAGTCCTACGATGAGCTGTAAAAGAGGTGCTTTTTTTTTTTTTAAAGAACGGCATGAATGTTAAAAGCAATGTTAGTCGTCCTTCAGCTGGGAACAGCAGTTTTTGATGCTTAGTACTACTTCTAATGTAAGTGTGACATTAATGTGAACCAAAATTATTATGGCAGCATGTTTTAAAAATCACACAACCGAGCAGGTGGCTGTCTAGGTTTTCGGTGTTGTTAGTCATTTTTCTTTTTGACCTTTTAAATGTGTATTTTGTCAGATTCTGTGTTCCTATCGTCCATTTGTTCCCTTGTTCCTTGTCCTAAACCTCACTTCACATGAGGAAATGGTGTTACTTGTTGTGTCAGGTTGTTAAAACCTGCTGTGACAGAGCGAAAAAACAGCTGCCCTCAGCTTGGAGCTCCCCCCTTGTTTTGATTCTCCTTTTCTCCCCCCCTCTCTCCCCCCCTCCCTCATCCGTTCTCTCCACCCGACTTCCCCCTCCCACCCCTGTCCTTGTTTCCTGGCTTCTTTCCCTTGAAGAGCTAACGACCTGCTTGTGGCGCTCCTGATTGGTGGATTGCTGGTTATGGGGGCGGGCCCGCTGTCAGGCTTGGGAGAGCTTTACCAGTGGTGAGCGAGCTCTCAGCTGTCAGACAGCCTCAGTCTGAAGTGGAGGCGCAAGCGGGATCGGTTCTCTGTGTGCTTCATCTGACGCCGCATTTAAAGGACTTCCTGTGGCTTTCTGTTTCCACTCAGCGACAAGAGACGGCAGAAAGGAGGGGTTGAAAAAGGAATAAGATATCCACTCAGATTTGGCTTGTTGTTCTGCTTCTCGTCTATTTCCTCCTTCCTGCCTTAATGCCCACGGCGGTGTGGTCAGGACCAGAGGAGGATGGGTCCGGCTGTGGAGGCTCAGGGCCAGAAGGCCGTGGATGCCGAGCAAAAGCAGCAGCAGCAGCAGCAGCAGCAGTGCTACATGGAGAAAGGGGTGATGCTTGAGCCTTTCCTGCATCAAGTGGGGGGGCATTGCTGCGTCCTTCGTCTGGGGGAGCAGGCCATCTGCAAACCCCTCATCCCCCGCGAGCATCAGTTCTACGAGAGTGTGCCTGCAGCGATGAGGAAGTTTACCCCCCAGTATCGAGGTAATGCAAACTGTCCTCGCCAACCGGTGTCGCGTTAGGCTGTGATGTTATGCGTCTCGCCTCATCTCTCTCTTAATTTGTCTGCATATGTGAGGGTCGGACGGGAGATCATTCTTTGCAGGTTGTGCGGTACGTGTTCATGTGATGCAAACAGAGCTCCCCGCTCGCGCTCAGGTGTTGTTTGTAGGTGCTTGTCAGCAGTGTGCGCAGGATGGTGCTGCAGCTGCATGTGGGCCTCCTACAAACACTGTCCTGTTTGTAGGAGGCTGCACAGGTAAGTCACCATTTTATTGTGCAGTCTCAAGTGAGACTCTTCCTCGCTTTTGATCCTAAAACCCACCACAAGGCTGGCTGCAAATAAAATGTCAACATGGGCAGCACTCACCTGAAACTCTGGGGGTGACTGGGGATTAGTAGACAAACCCAACGAACACATCACCAAACACCCTATTTTAGGATCTCAAAAAATGAAACGCATTAAGTCTAATTAGCAAACAGAGCCTGGTGGATGTCACCGCCCTAAATTACTCCTACAAGTTTTACAAGGTCTTCAGGTTTGTTTGTTATGCTTCACTGCGACATCAGAATGTTTTTGCTGTCTCGCTTTTCTGGCCATTATACAACGCCGTGACTCTGGAACAGAAAGTGTGGTCCTGACCGCTTTTCCGTTTTCTTCCGTGTCCCTTCCGCACAAATAGAGAAAACACAGAACGACAAGCACAAAGCTTGACAAAGCCAAATCAATTTTTTTTTTTATAGCTGTATCACAAAAAATCCAAATCTTTAGAGCAAACAACGTCCTCCATCCTTAAACCCTTGAACCGTATTCATTCCCTGACTGCTCACGGCACCACTAACGCTTTGGTTTGTTCGCTGTCACCAGAGTCGGTTTTCCTCTGGAAAAAAGTCTCTCACTGAAAAACAATTCACAGAAATGGTTCATAATAATAATAATATAGAGGAAATACATGTTCCGTTTTTCCAAGAAATACACACCTGCTATTACCACCTCTTTTCTATGACTCTAACAGACGTGGATGTAAACTTGAACCTGACTAGTTAACTAACCATGAGTCTAGTTGTCATCTGTGGAGATACTGAGCTGAGCCCCTTCCCTTGCTTTGTTGTGAATATTTTGTGGCAACTGTGCTGTAATTTCTGAGTTCAAACCTCTTCACCTTTGTTGTCACTTACATTCTGAGTCCTCTCCATCTACTTCAGCCTGTTTCTGGACTCCGTGTGTGGGGGGGGCTGTATATAATTCATGCCTGTGATGCTTTGTTGTTTCTGTATGGTATTCATGTGTATTGCTGCTCCTCTGTGTGAGATTCAATTTTTGGCAATAAACTGAATTTAAATTATGCAGCCTTGTGTCATTTATGTTTGCCGATTCTATTCTCTGCGCTGCTGTGTTGGGTTCACACCATTAAAGCCCCCTGCCAGCGCACTAATATGGATGGATTGATCTCTCATTCCGTCTTGTTCTTTGTTGCATTTAGAACTCAGTATACCTCTCCCATCCTGTTGTCATTTCTACCAGGGCAGATGATTTAAAGAGATGTGGCAGGAGACAAAAATGATTCTGTTGAGGAAAATCACTTAAGAGCGGGTGTTATCCTGTCAGCTTTATTGTGTTTTGCCTAAATATGCGAGACATATTATCTTGCCTGCTCCATGACTCAAGCGACTAACCGATATCTTTCTGTTTTCGTCTCTGTTTGGCTCTCAGGTGTTGTGTCAGTGAGCTTCGAGGAGGACGAGGAGGGGAACCTTTGCCTAATTGCTTACCCCATCCAGAGTGACCCAGCGGGGGATCTTGAAAACAAGGACCCCTCGGCCGACAGCGGGCCCAAATGCGAGATGCTCATGTGGGGGAAAATGATGGCGTCTTGGCCGCTTGTGGACAGCGAAAATTACAGCAGAGATTGCAGGAGCCGCCATTCTTGTAAAGACCAGGACAAGAGGTGAAACCAAAGAAAATGTCCCATCGGAGTAAGAAATACACTGTCGGATGCGTTACTGTCGCTTTCACACTTTAATCGAAGGTCATGCAGGTTAAATTCAATATGATGCATCCGTCACTTCAGAACAGTTACATAACGTTGACCTGATGAAATTATCTGCATTTTTCCATAAATGGTAAAGCCGTCTTGACTGACTTTGATCAACCCAATAATTCACACATACAACCAACTGTGAGGCTGATCTTTGGCCTTTGCAGCCGTAAAGAAGCTTTCATCACTGCAATAGATGCACGTCTGCGTATACGCGCCCCGCAAGGCTCGTACTCATTGATGGCAAAATACATGTTGAGTTAGATTTCAATTGCAATAATGATATAAATGCATGCATGATAGTAAATGAAAGACACAGTGGCATTGCTTTCCTCTTTACATCACATATAACGTCCCTTTTCTTGTGCTCTATGACCCCCACACACACTTTACCTACAAACACTAGCAGATTTTTCCTTCATTCTTCGTGCCTAAATCTAATGATGTTCTCTCTTCCCGTCTGCCGTCCAGTGTCCACAAGCTGGAGGAGGAGGCTGAGGTGCTCTACTACCGGCTGGAGCGCAGTCCCAGTAATGCTGTACCTCAGCTCAAACACAACCCATGGACCCAACAGCACCACCTGCAGAAGATGAAGGACAAGGCCATGCACTGCAACCAATACAGTATCCTTTCCGCCCTACGTAGCCGACAATCACAGCGGAACGAGAAAACTGGTAAACCGATTAAAAAGGTGGTCACGTTTCACCACTGTTGCCTCCTTGACTGCGTTTCCCAGAATTCATCCTGCTGGAGAATCTGACGTGGCGGCACACGCTGCCATGTGTGCTGGACCTGAAGATGGGCACGCAGCAGCATGGAGATGAGGTCCCCGAGGAGAAAAAGGCCAGGAAGATGCGCAAGTGCCAGCAGAGTACAGCATCTGTTTTAGGAGTCTGCCTCTCTGGCATGCAGGTGAGCTTGTGAGCCAAAGGCTTCGCTGGTTCATGGGTGGGTCTTTTAGAGGACGGCCGACCTCTAAAGTGCTATAACCATATTATATCTCACTAGTAAATGAGAACTATGTTCATTAACCATTTGTTGAAGCAACCAAACTGCGACAAAAGTCTTATATTGGCACCTATCAACCACCAAATGGCAGTGAAATTTCCCTTTAGCTTTTATATCAGTACAGATGGCCCACATTAACTATTTCAGACCTCTGTTGATCATCTCTGATTATAACCTATCAAAGTAGTGGCACGAAACTAGTACAATCAGCCTTTAATTGTCTCTGCTACGTGGCCGGTCTGGTCCAAGGGGAAATAGAGGTAATTTCTTTCAATAAAGGTGTAGAAGTAGTTACTAAAGCCTCTCGTCCTCTCAGGTGTACCGGTGTGACACGGGCCAGCTGATGTTCATGAACAAGATCCACGGCCGCAGGCTGTCCGTGCTGGGATTCAAGGAGGCGTTGTTCCAATTCTTCCACAGTGGACGGCGTCTGCGAAGCGAACTCTTCTCGCCGGTGCTGCGCAGGCTCAGGGAGCTGCAAGCCGCCCTGGAGACCTGCGAATCCTACCGCTTCTACTCCAGCTCGCTGCTCATCATCTACGACGGAGCGCCGCGCCCAAAACGCAGCGAGGACGGCCTCTCAGACCAAGAGGAGGAGGAGAGGGAAGGCGAGGAGGCGGAGGCTGCGCCAGAGATGGAGGAGGAAGAGGAGGGGGAGGTAGCCGGTCCACTCGGTTTTCCCCGGACGGCCCCCGCGTCCAGCGATGGCAGCACCGGCGGCGGGGGATCGGCGGTCAGCCAGGCTCGCTTGTCCCGCTCAGATGACCGCTGCCCCTTGGTGGATGTGAGGATGATCGATTTTGCCCACACCACCTGCAGACATTACCACGGGGACAGCGTGGTGTACGAGGGCCTGGACAGCGGCTACATCTTTGGTCTGCAGCACTTGATCACCATCATCTCCGAGCTGGAGAACCACAGCACAGACTGAAGACTGGCGTGACGCACACGCGCACACACGTCCAGCAGACACAGCAGACGCAGCTGCACAGGAGCACCGAGGACGAAGAGGAGGACTGGACCGCGGAAGCGAGAGGGAGAGATTTCGCCTTTCCTCTTCAAAAAGGGACCTGGCCAGTCGTTGGACTCGGTTCCTGGTTCCGCCGCCGGTGCTTTTTTCCATGTTCACGTTTTGTTTGTGTGTGTGTGTCCGTCTATACAAAAGAGACCCGCACATAACATACACGAGCCAGCTCTCTGACTCATCTCTGTAGACCGATTCTGCACGCCGTCCGCTGTCAGACGGAGCCGACGGCTTCCCAGATCGTGACTGTTGTAGTGATTTAGCCGACGTCATCGCTACGCTTAACGCGGTTTGGGCGGCGACTGAGAGCACTTTGAGACGGAACGGGATGAAATGTTTTTCCTTACGTCGGATTCCAAAGAAGGCGTCAGCAACTTGCAGACACAAACGCGTGGTGTTGAACACGCGGGTGTTTGCGACGGCACGGGGTAATGAGAGGGCACAGGGGTCGCGTGAGTAAGACGGAGCCATTGGGATGAGAGGTCGCCAGCCCACACCCTCCAGTCTGTTCTGCCTTCCTTCCTTCCCTGTTAATCTCCACTCAAAGAGACTATATTCATATAAGTATCAGGGACAGTTGATATAGAGTTATTTCTTTATTTGACATGTTTCATATAAAAACAAAAAAACTAAAAGTCCAAAAAAGAATGTTAACGAACAGTACTACATTCCATGTTATTAATGTTATAATAATGATTTTGTTATTTGACATATTTGATACCTCTATCCTGTATGTATTTGCTGTCCACAGTTTGTTGGCAAGGAAAATAAAGACTTTGGTTTCTGTCAACATCTGTGTCTTCTTTCATACTTGGAAAAGGTTAGGAGCTTTGTAATAACTTTTTCAGAGAACAAAACCACAGATGAGGCTCATTTGAATGTGCGGCAATCAAATTTAATGTAAATATCCAGCATGTAAGGTTACCGCCCGGGTGCGTTCAAATGTCAGCACAAACATGTGACGACCGAACTATTAAAAGCTCTACAAATACCTTGGAAAGTGTGGGTCTGCATTTGAACCCGCTCGCACCATCTGCTCTGCAGACAAAAAACTGGAGCAAACGCCGTGGACCCCAGGTTTCCCTAAACATCTCTATCGGTATAGACTTATTTATTTGAGTGATTCATTGGTTGCAGAGAAATAGGGACGGGTTGTTCTGGCAGGAGGAGGATGACGACACCCTAAGCTGCCTCAGCCAGTCCTGCTCACCCGTTACCAGTCTGAGGCAGCCCGAGTGCTCAAACAATCTGCTCTGAGAGACACAGGCGCTGTGTTATGAGGAGGACCGGCGGCCTGTGTGTGGAGGAGAGCTATTAAGCAGACACAGGCTTGTGTCAACAGAAAGTACGAGTCATTACCACCTCGGTCCTCACTCTCCAGACCGGGCTGCTGCCACAGACATCCATCTGACGCACAAGTGTACAGCCTAGTTTCACATTCATCCATTGTCATTTTTGACAATACTGTATGTTGGACCTGACTTGTAATCTGTTTGGGATAGTACAAGAAAAGGTGAAATCCTTTAATGCGACCCAGTATAGTACACACACATAAATCTTTAACAGTCCAGGTCGGGGGTACGTTTTTATATGCACTTTTGGATGCCAATCTATGTTTAACATACTGCCAAAGTTCCACTGCAGAGCCACACTGAGTCATCACACAGTATGGATGTGATGTTTATGAGCTGTGTGTAAGAATAGAGTGATGGAGAGATGAGAGGGTGGAGAGATGAAGATAAGCTTCTCCATATCAGCTGTACTGGGAGGGGGGAGGAGGGGTGGTAAATGTTGCGTAATAGTCCCATAATCAGGGGGCTGCTATCAAAAATCAATATGACCCCATTCTGCCAGTGTGTTGTATGTATACAATGCACTACACACACTGTAAATCTCTGTTATTCTATAACATAGAGCTTGCATGCTCCTGTGTGACGCACATGTGCATGTGTACCCTTGCAGTCCATTGCTTTGTGAAGTGGAGCAGTTGCATAATGGTTAAAATCACCATGGCAACAGCAGCCTTTGCTGGGAATGAAATAGTGTTGTAGCGTGTTGGACACGTGAGTAACGTGTGTCCCCACTCACGATTCATTCATCAAGTATGCTCCATAATTTCGTGAGCATTTAGAGAGTGATCACATTGTATGCGGCCCGATAGCTTCATTTAAAACACACAAACAATGATTGATTACTTTGTTTTGGAAAAGTCATTCTTTACCAAAGGAATTTCAAGATTGCGCATTTTGCAAAACACATTTTACTTGTTCACATCCACCGTCTTATTTTCTTTTTTCTCAGCTCTTTATTCTATCTACAAAAAACGGAGGATTACTTATAACTGTGAAGGACTTTCACTTATTACACTTCTCAAAGGCAGCTGTAGCTAACTATTCACAAGCTCCTCTGCAGGAGGTTTGGGGTGGGGTGGGGGTGATCCAGACCAAATGTGCGTTTCACTCTCACGGCTTTCCTCTCGGCCATTTGATGTTAATAGGAGTTGTCCTTTACTGCCTCTCAAATACATGCCAGGACAAATAAATGTTCGGAAACGCAGTGCAGAGCTTTTTCCACTTTTTATTTCTGGCTGTTTTTTGGGGTCGTGTGTGTGTGTGTGTGTGTGTGTGTGTGTGTGTGTGTGTGTGTGTGTGTGTGTGTGTGTGTGCGTGTGTGCGCGCGCGTGTAAGTGTGCTCGTTACCTTCGGTGCATCCAAATTTTATTTTGTCACCAGAAAAACATTTGCATGAATCCTGAAAGGCGTTACACAGTTAAAGCCTTGCTCTCCTTGCATATGATAGACAACATCCTCTCTGTTTTTCATACACTTACACGGCCTTGACTGCGACACAGATCTTACCCTCTAAAAGGTCTTGGATCAAGGAGGGGATTTATTGAACTTAACCACCATGTGGTCTGCAGGCTAACTGTCAGATGACCTCTATTTATAGTACCCTGCGCCGCTGCATCCTCTCACTGCCAAATGAGAATTGCTCCAGTGTCAGCCACACAATTTAGCACACTATCTAAAGAAAGGCAGAACCTCAGGAATACAGCAAAGGCTGTTTTGACAGGTGCTAAATAGGAATTTCCTCAGTGCTGAGAAGCTGTGCTGAGGCAGTTACATAAAGGGGTCAACAATGTAATATAGGGATTAAAGCCAGAGTGCCTCTAGTCTGCTCTTTTTAACTCACATGCACAAAGAAAGTAGATCTTGTGTGATTAAGATGTAGTTGGTCGTGGGGCTTAATATCATGACCCACTTAAAAAGGAAGATGATTTGATTTAAGTGCATGGAGGACTGACTGCAAGTCGGTGTCTTAGGCAGTGTAATGTTTACATGCTAACATGCTCACCAAGACAATGCTAAATTGATTAACAGCTAACGTTTACCACATGGATTACCTTATATTCTGTTTGTTCATGCATGTATGTATGTACAAAATACATTAGGGGTTCATCCAATAGTTAAACTTGTTCAGCCTGGACCAACGAGGTTTAAATAACCAGTCAGTAGCTATGATGCTAGTGCGGCTATAAACTCATTTTTAATGGAGCTGGCCAAAGAAAGAAATGGTATAAATATGTTAGTTTTTTGAACTTCCATTGAAAATGTTGAGAGTGAACTTTTAAGAGGAATTTTTAAGTAAGTTTTTCAGTATACTGTATAAAAGTATTTGACCTCAATTTGCTCGGGCGCTAGTAAATAAACAAAGGGGAATTATATTTATCAGATACAAAACATTGTATGACCTATAACTCATCGTTCTTGAACTTGTTTACTTTATCTTACAGAGATAAAGTCATAACATTATAAGTCCAGCACCCAATAGCTCAACAGATGAAGAATTCTTTTGTTTAGACTACGAGACCTTCATTCCCTCCAGGAATCATTATCCGTACAGAATACAATCATGACCCCATTGCAATGTATATCATTCGATTCATAACCTCTCTCACCCCATCCTGCTCTCACACGCACCATCACGTTGATGCCAGCAGAACCCACGTCTGTTTTAACCACTGAATAGAGTGAAACTGACTCCTTTGTAAGAACATGACAGCAGTCCAGGGACAGACGCAGAGAAAGGCTGATAAATGGACGGCAAAAAACAAGAGAGGAAAAAGGCAAAGTGAAGCCAAGATGTGACTGTTACATAACGGCGGCGTGACGCTGTCCGCCAGGCGTCGAGTCTCGACCTTGCCTGAGGCCCCTGTCGTACTCAGGGCGCGCGGGGCCACTCTGTCAAACTAATTTACACTGACGCTAATGAACAATCACAGGCACAGATTTACTAAACACGTCTTTATTCAAGCTCACCCAAGAAGGTCAAATGAAGGAAGACTTTCTGCCCTCTGGAATCGCTCCATGGCTCCCTCTAAACTGTTCAACTGCCGGGCCTCGATTGGTTAGAATTTATAGCTTTTTAGTTTCTGGTTTGAAAAAAGGAAATAATACAGAAAACACTGTGAAATCACAAGTGTCTGTCTCTTCCAAATGAACCAGGGATTATATTTTGTACCCTGAGATTCTCCCTTCACAGTGATATACCTTTCCCCTACTTATGGACACCTCAATAGTTGAAATAAATGCTCATTCCCAGCCAGGATCCCCTGAAAATATCTGATTCAGCTGCAACACGTGCAAACGGACCAAACAGCCGCGTACCGACATCTCTTTGTACGTTCTTCTCCAAATATCAGCTTCCCACAGCTCAGGCAGACTGCATGTTAGTGTCAATGGAACCTATGGGGTCGTTTGGAGTTCGCTAAACCGGAAAACTTCATTTTATTTGAAGGATTTAATACTGATTCTTCATTCACTCCGGGAGGCTTTTGTCTTTACTGCATCCTGACACGAGGCACATCATACCTTCTCACTCCTTGTGGGCCTCATAGAGACGCATGAAGGTAAATTATGATGCCGAGTCTACGACCGTGCGCCGAGGTTTTAATGTCTCATGCAATCACTGAAACATTGGTGGGTTTACATAATGTGCTCCACCGATACACACAGGAACAGCTTTGGCCTTTACGCGTTAGGGGGAAAATGAAGGGAAAAAATGTAATCAGTATTCATGTTTTATTGCCATTCATTTTTCTTCTGTACAAAAACATAATCAAAAATGTTGTGCAGCGACAGACTATTTGTATTACTTGTCGCCGAGGCTCTAATTGTCGATGGTGTATTAGGCTAGATTAAACAATCATGTCTGGGTGGCTTTAAAACATGAATGTGATTCATTCCAAAATAGATTCACATGGAATAATAATAACTTCTATTTAACATATCAAAGCAGAAGTTTACTGTGTTTTTTATGACTGACAGGGAGAAGTGTACAGTAGATCATCAAGAGACCATTCAAAACTCTGTGGAAAGCCTGACAGGAGGCGCGTTTGTGTGGTATTTGTTTGTCCTCGGCGGTTAGCTCACTTTGTGATCATTATATAACCACATGAACAAATATCTCTTTGTCTGAGGGCAGGTGTGCAGGTTCCCAACCATCCTCCACCATGTGTGTGTGTGTGTGTTTTATTTCTATGATTCCTGTTTGGGTTCATTTAGGGCTATGTAGAAAATTTAGACTGATCAGACGTACAGATGTCTGTCGGTCTATTAGGGCATTATTATGGGTCAGTGGTTAAATGTAGCACAAGCACTGATCACCGCCATTAAATTGAACAACCACTGACCGAGAGCTTCACAACTACAACAAAGGGAAGGAATCGTCTAATTAAAATAGCCTGTGAAAAACCAGCCTGTTTTTATACATCATTTAAATCAAATTGGT